CCTTCCTAAGGCTTGCCATATGCCCTAGTAGCATTTCCTCAATGGGCTTTGGAGGCCGAAAGCCCATTGAAAAAGCTAAACCAAACGAAGCCCACGTGATTATATATATTTCTCTTAATTGGTCATCATTTATTGATTGTACTTAATATTATAATACTTTAGACTATTGTCAGCAAAGCTTATAAATAGGCTCATATACTCTTTATTTGATTAGATATCAAAATATAAAGAAAATTCCTTAAATCGGTATTCTGCATTATTCCTTAACTTTCTAGATTTTGATTTCAATGTTCATTTTTCCCCTTTAGACAGTAATTAAGACGAGTCTTGATCATTGTATATGTATTTTGCTATGAATTCTCCGAAAGCACTTATCTCTAAACACGTAAATAGTTTGACCAAACTGTTTAGTAGCCAACAAAATTCTTTCCCAATAAATTCCACTACTCTGTGCCCCAAACAAAGCACACGTTTACTCATTTTATTATAGTGAGTATAAGTTATAACGCTCGGCCAAAAAACATATATGTTATTATAATGCAATTTGAATTTATTGTTCCATTTAATTTAGTTATTTATATCGATTTTCTCTCGCTAAGCCCTACAATGATAAGAAATTACTTATTAGAATTGTGGGGATGGGATTTTAATTCGAAATTACCGGTTTTGGATGTCACGCATATCGTTAGATCTATTGAAATTCTATTTCTAATTCTATTAACAATAATTATTGCTTTCTAATTTTTTTCTACCATGGTTAGCTTTCAAATTTAAACAATATTAATTTTCTATGTTAAAAATATGATAGGCTCATGAATATATTCTTGAAAATATGTTGTTAGAATTCTGATTTTTTGTTAATTAAATGGTTTGTAAATTGTGATACTTTGACATGAAATAAGATCATAGATGCATTTTTTAAAATATATGGTATATATGTATATTGCACGTCCGAATATATGGATTTTTTTAATGATAGTAAATTTAAAATTCAGAGTAAATTCTTATATTTTCAAAATAGTGAGCTTAAGTAACCAAGTCTTACATCCAGTTACTGGTTTTAGTTAGAGTTACTTAGTAACTTACTCTTTTACCACGTAATCTTAGGTTACCAACTCTTATTTGAGTTATTTATAAATATCTAATGGTCATCTTAAAATTACAATGTTTTTATAAAATTGAGAAGCTTTTACTAGTAACACCGACCTTCATTCTTATGTTTCCAATTCTCACATCAAAGGAAATTTAGATATTTTTTCAGTTTCATGAAATAATGAAAAAATGAAAAAATTATGTGTACCTTGGTGCATGTAACATTTTGCATTCTTTTGTGAAAATTTCAAGTACTTCGGATAAAAAATAATAAAAAATTCAAATTCCGTTGGCCGCAAGATTTAATTAAGCAAAAGGTAAAAAGCGAAGGCCAATCAAGACAAACCTAAGTTCAATATAAGATATAGAAAATGAAAAATTCGGGTGGAAAATGACGACATATTAAAAGAAAATTTGGGCCCATTTGGCAAGTTGCCAAATAGTAAAAATTTCTGTTCTTTTGTTTCCAGAATCAATTTGGGAATATAATCCGTTTGTTAAAATTTTTGTGCCCGAGCACAAATTTGTAAAAAATTATTCCCAGAATCAGTTTTTGAACAGAATCAAGAAGCAAAAAAAAGTAGCTTTTTTTATTCTGAGAACAAGAATCAGAATTGGAAAAGAAATTATTTTTTTTTCTTCTTCTTCTTTCCCGTTCTTTCTGTTCTTCTTCTTCTTCATTCTCCAGCCATTGGCCACCGGCCACCGGCGACACAGGCGAGGGTCCCCTTTGTTGGATCCGGCAAGGGCTGGACCCTCGCGGCCTAGGCGAGGGTCGCCCTTGCGGCCTGGGTGAGGGTTGCCCTCGCCAGCCTTTTCCAGCCCTCGCCCGAGCCGGCGAGGGCCGTCCTCGAGGCTCGCGGCTTGGGCAAGGGTTGCCCTTGCCGGATTTGGCGAGGGCGGCGGCGAAAATCTAGTCCTCACCAGATTTAGCGAGGGCGATCCTCGCCTAGGCCACGAACCTCGAGGGCGGCCCTCGCCGGCTCGAGTGAGGGCTGGAAAAGGGCGGCGAGGTTTGCCCTCGTCCAGGCCGCAAGGGCCACGACGCCCTCGCCAGCCCTAGCCTGTGGCTGGTCCCCGGCAGCCATGGCCAAGAAGGAGGAGAAGAAAAAAAGAAAAGAAAAAAGAAAGAAAGAAATATTATAATTTTTAAAAATATTATTAATAAAAAAGAAATTTTGTGCCGTTATCAAATGCATTTCTATTCTTTTTCTATTCTAGGAATGGAAACTTTGAACCGTTACAAAACGTCTTCAAATGCTCAGAATCAGTTCTCAGGCACAGAATAAAAAAGAATCATTTCTGAGCAGAATCAGTTCCCGGGCACAGAATCGTTGCCATGCGCACTCTTAGTAACTCACTCTTTTACCATGTAATCTTAGGTTACCAACTCTTATTTGAGTTATTTATAAATATCTAATGGTCATCTTAAAATTACAATGTTTTTATAAAATTGAGAAGCTTTTACTAGTAACACCGACTTGCATTCTTATGTTTCCAATTCTCACATCAAAGGAAATTTAGATATTGTTTAAGTTTCATGAAATAATGAAAAAATTATGTGTACCTCGGTGCATGTAACATTTTGCATTCTTTTGTGAAATTTCAAGTACTTCGGATAAAAAATAATAAAAATTCAAATTCCGTTGGCCGTAAGATTTAATTAAGCAAAAGGTAAAAAGTGAAAGCCAATCAAGACAAACCTGAGTTCAATATAAGATATAGAAAATGAAAAATTCGGGTGGAAAATGATGACATATTAAAAGAAAATATTTTGAGTGGAAAATGATTAAATTCGACCTAATTATTTATGAAAGGGAAAGGAGACAAAAAGAAAAAAAATTAATCGACCTTTTCCTCCCTATTTTATAAATATCTAATGGTCGAATTTAAGTTGTGAGGGTCTTAAAATTACAATCTTGAAAATATGTTTGGTTAATGAAAATAAGAACTTTGAATAGGAATGTTTTTTATAAAATTGAGAAGCTTTTACTAGTAACACCGACTTGCATTCTTATGTTTCCAATTCTCACATCAAACGAAATTTAGATATTGTTTAAGTTTCATGAAATAATGAAAAAATTATGTGTACCTCGGTGCATGTAACATTTTGCATTCTTTTGTGAAATTTCAAGTACTTCGGATAAAAAATAATAAAAAATTCAAATTCCGTTGGCCGTAAGATTTAATTAAGCAAAAGGTAAAAAAAAAATCAAAAGGTAAAAAGTGAAAACCAATCAAGACAAACCTGAGTTCAATATAAGATATAGAAAATGAAAAATTCGGGTGGAAAATGACGACATATTAAAAGAAAATATTTTGAGTGGAAAATGATTAAATTCGACCTAATTATTTATGAAAGGGAAAGGAGACAAAAAGAAAAAAAATTGTCAACCTTTTCCTCCCCTATTTCATCAGAAAATTTAAAAAATTGTATATTAAGTAATTTGTCTTAATATGAAAAATTCAAATTAAAGAAAAGAACTAGAAAACCCGAATTTAAGTTGTGAGGGGCCTTTTGGTTCACAAAAATTATTTTTGTATTCGTTTTCAATGAAAAGGAAACTGAAATTCTTTTTCATTTTTTCGATTTTTTGTGCTCTTGAAAATATGTTTGGTTAATGAAAATAAGAACTTTGAATAGGAATGAAAATTTAAACATGTTTGTTGTGTCTTTGCAATGCTGTGCCTTTTCTTAACTAATATCCATCTTTTTATTCAGCAATTAACTATTAAACCTCCTCTTACGTATGTTGCTAATATCAAATTATTAAAGCAATAACTGTAGATAATTTTTAATTGGCGAAAATAATTTTCATAATGAAAGAAATTCGTAACTTACTAATTTATCGCCATATTTGTAAATTTATCATAGTGCTACGCTTATAAAGTTTGATAAATTGGTCACTAACTAATTTATCTGGTATTGGCGAAATCATTTTAGTATTGGTATTTTACTATCCAGACCTAAAAAAAAATTTGAAAAAGTTTGTAATGTATTGATTTATCAAAACGTTGGTAAATTCTTTCTAGTGTTGGTATATTATTAACTGCACTTGCAAAATCTAAAAGAAGTCGGTAACTCACTAATTCAATAGGATGTTGGTACATTCCACATCGGATTGGTGTTTAGCTAGCCACACTCGTAAATTTTGGGTTAATACCACAAAAAATCCAAAACTGGTACACATGTGATAATTTTACTTCAAACTAATTTTTTGACCACGAAAAACCCCAAACTAGTACACTTGTGATAAATTTACCCAAAACTAATTTTTTGACCAACAAAAATCCCGAACTGGTACATTTGTGACAAATTTTCCCTCTGTTAGTTTCCATTAAATTGAATTAATACCACAAAAAATCATAAAATGGTATGCCTGTGACAAATGGAGGGTAAAACATAAAATTGGTACATTCGTCAATTGTCGCGTGTCATTTAACAAAGCAATTCGATAGTAAAATTTAACGGAAATAAACTGAAAGTAAATTTGTCACGGGTGTACCGGTTTGGGATTATTGGTGGTCAAAAAATTAGTTAGGGGTAAAATTGTCATAGATGTATCAGTTTGGGATTTTTTGCGGTATTAACTCTAAAATTTTAAACAAGTCGGAAAACCACAGACTTTTAGGATGTTGATAAGTTCCTCATAATGCTAGTAGTTTACTAATCACACTTGCAAAATTTGGAGAAGTCGGTAACTTAATAATCTATCGGGACGTTGATAAATTCCATATTAGGTAATTTTTACTGTGCACACCTGTAAAATCTAGAGAAGTTGGTCGGTTATTAACTTATTGGAATACTGGTAGATTTATTGTAGTGTTGTTAATTTAAAAATGGCACTCGTAAATTTCAAGGGAGTTGGTAATTTACTAATTCATTTCGAAATCGAGAAATTCCCGTGAATGATAGCGACTTACTAGCTGGATTACATGATAATCAAGGTACTAATCATACTTTTATAAGACGGTATTTGAAATTTAATTACAACTTCAGAAATCCACCACTCATGGAAAAACTTTTCCGATTTTCCCCCCTGAAGCATCGTGTCAACTTCCAGGCCAGCTTCCTCCATTCCTTGAACCAATTAAGAGACGAGAGTACAACAGCGGGCTATCAAGAAAAATCGTCTTACCAAGTTAGGCAATGCTGATGAAATTGGCAATACATCTTGACGAAGAATAGTGTGACCTGCTTTTATCTAGCGTCGAAAGGAAAAGCGAATCGTTCCGACATCGTAGCCAAAGTGCTCGACTCATCGAAGCATTATTTCCATCGAACCAATTGTTTCTCTGCCGCAGCGGTGCAATGAACATATACGAGATTCCGCTAAGTTGCGTCGCTGAACGTCTTTTTAGAGTTTAGACGCCTTGAGTCCTGGAGCGCTCTGATCTCCACAAGTTCATGCGAAATTCAACCCCATCGTTCGAATAGATCTTCGACAGATGTGGACAATTTGCTGAGGCCTTGCAGTTGACTCCCTCGTTTTGCCACATTTCCGACTTTCTCTAGGCCATGAACATCACGAAGCTTCGAACATCCTTTAATGTCCAAATATTTCAGGTTACCGAAGCACGAGAGGTCTGGTAATGTTTCAATGGATGCGCAGCTCTGGATAATCAAGAATTCCAATTTTTTCAACCTCTCAAGACCTTTAATTTCGACTAGATTGTGGCAGAGATAAGCTTCTAATCGCTTCAGATGTGTTAAGTGCGAAAGGTCCGGTCTTATAAGGTACTCACAGTAAATTATAAACAGCTGTTCCAAGTTTTTCAATCCGTCAAGGCCTCGAACTAGATCGTCATTCACTAGGGAAAAACTCATATCCAAGTATCTCAAGGACTCTGCATGTTCAAGGCCGTCAAATTTGGACAACTTCTCGCTTCCACATATACTTAGATGTACCAAGGATTTTAATGCTTCCAGACCCTTGATTTCTGTCAGCTCACAGCAGTTTTGGATATCTAATTGTGACAACAACTCCGATCTTGACAAACTTGGCAACTCTTTCAACTCATCACAGCCGTAGACATAAAGCTTCAATATTGCCGAGGGAAGCTCTGGTATGGATTCCAGCAATTTGCATTCGTAAACAGTGAGCTCTTTTAGATGGATTAGGTGAGAAAGTTGAGGCAATGTGCGATGCTGACAAGTCAGTTCCAGAACTGTTAAACAGCCAGGAAGTTTCGGCAGCGACTGAAGTTCGTAACAGCCAATTAATTGAAGGTGTTGCAGAGAAGGCAGTTCACTTATGCTTTCCGGCAGCGATTGAAGCATCTTACAGCCGCGTAAGTCAAGTTTTTCAAGACGAGAAAGCTTATCGAATGTGTGGGGGAAGCCAGAAACGCCTGTCCAACTTAATACAAGGATCTTCAATGAAGAAAACCCATCTATAGGTATTTCCCCTACCAGACTCCGGGAATGCGAGGCATGCAATTCTTCAAGGTTGCCCAACTTGGCAATAGTACTCGGTAAGTTACTCAATTTACTTGCAGTAATATCCAAAATTTTCAAGTTCTTCAAATCTCCAATGGATTCAGGTAATTCCCGAATGCCCATACATGGCAATTCCTTTGGAGTCATCCATTTTGATTTCCAAGATGCATTGGGGAAGCCATATCTCCCATATTTAACTGGGATAACCTTAAGAGATGTATCCTCCCCTCTGCCTAATGACAGGCGCTGCAATTTCACGAGGGATCCGATGCTCTCTGGAAATCTATCTAAACTGATGCACATACTCAAGTCAAGGGTCGACAAGTTTACGAGATGGCTGATTGAGTCGGGAAGTCCAACCAATGATTTGCAACCATAGGCGTGAAGTATCTCCAGCTTCTTCAAAGAACCTATACAAGGAGGAATTTCCTCTATAGCAGTCTTGCATATGTTTAGTTCCTTCAGTTCTTCCAATTTGCCCATATCTCTGGGTAGAACTCGGAGTTTCCCACATCTCGAAAAGTCCAAAGAAACGAGGCCCTTCAAAGAGCCTATACATGGAGGAATTTCCTCTATAGCAGTCTCGCGTATGTTTAGTTTCTTCAGTTCTTCCAATTTGCCCATTTCTCCGGGTAGCATTCGGAGTTTCCAACAATGTGAAAAGTCCAAAGAAACGAGGCCCCTGACTTCTCCGATAGAATGGTGAATTTGCTCCAAATTTTGACAATTTGCAAGGACTAATATTTCTAAATTTTGGAAGGCTGAGAGATCAGGAGTAACTTTTAAATGATAACAACCCGTAAGATTTAGAACTTTCAATTCTTTCGCCACCTGCAAAACAAAGTGACTTGATAAATTTTCGCTAAGAGTAAGCCATTAGAAACAAAAGACAACATGCTCTCCATCTGACCTTGAGATGACTCCAACCTTCCCAAAGCTCTGAAATGTCACTCCATGATAAATCAAGTATGACTAATTTCTCTAGATGAAAACTAATAGCCACGAATGCAGGACAATATTGCCACTGAAGCCATCGCAACTCAGGAAGCAAGCTTTTGGAATCTCCAATCAGTCCAGCACCACGCACTTGAAGGAACCTTAAGTTCGGTAGTGTTTCAAATTGTTCAGTTGTGAATTCACTGTCTGAGCGGTATTTGTCAAGACGAAGGGCCCGAACGTGAAGTTTTTCAATTCCCTGCACAAATGTTGCACCAAATCAGCTAACAGTGGACCGATATCACTTTGCCTTCGTTCTATTGTGGTGAAGTTGACGCTCAGGTCAGACCAGATTTTATCAGGTACGCAAGTTTTTTTTTTGGGTTAATGAATAATGTCATGTAATCTTCCCCTCTGAAGTTACTGCGAAATATTTTATATATTCGTCCTGATATCTTCCCTTCTTTGGTTTACGCTATTTCTCCCTTTTTCTTCTCTTATCCGATTAGAGAATCAGTGCAATGGGTCATTGCAAGGGAAAAAGCATGATGGCTCGAATAACGACTCAGAATGAATTGATACTAACACCAATTGCAAAACTAACCACTAACGAATAGGGGGTTTATTGTTTAAACCCAAAAGTTTTCTTTCCTTAACTCGATAGGAAATGTCTACCATGTATAGATGCTAAGAACATTTCATCCTAATCACATCAAGGAAATAACATAAGGAGAATAATCTCGGCTGTGAGGTTTAAAATTGATTCCAATTGAAAGAATTCATGTAAAAAGAGAGTAGAACAACAATAGAGGTAACAATAACCTTATTTCTCTGACGTACTTCCAAGGCTTCCTCATGGATCCACAACCTGCTTCGATTCATAGGCGCATTGTAATCTTCTTGGCGAACAATTTCCCTACCAAGGTCTCTCAACTGGTCATGCATTTTCAGCTCATGATTATCTCCAATTTTTATTAGCGACATAAAACTCAATTGTTCAATTTCCATCGCTGGATAAAAATTACAGGCATCCCACATGTAGGATGTAATTCTTACATGAGTTCCAATAAATAAACAAGCAATATCCAGAAATATTTGTTTTTCCTCATTGCTCAATGCGTCATAGCTTATCCTCAACGTTTCTTGCACTTTCCTATGTGGTGCTTTCTCTAACTTCTTTAATGCGTCTTGCCAGAATGCTCGGTTTTTCCCACACAGAAATGAACCTATAACTTCGAGAGCTAAGGGAAGTCCTCTAGTAGTGGATACGATATCATGAGAGAGAGACTCAAATTCACACGGAGGAGAGTCCCTCCGAAAAGCATGTCTACTAAACAAGATCAAAGATTGGTCCACTGCAATTTCCTTGAGTTCGTACTGGCAATTCACCTCAGCATCATCAAGAATAGACCTTATTCTTGTGGTAATGATTATCTTACTACCCCTCTCAAACCAATCATGTTTCCCAATTAAAGCTTTTAGTTGATCATGGTTATCCACATCATCTAGAAGAATTAGGACTTTCTTATGTTTAAATCTAGATTCCATGATCCTAATTCCTTCATCCTTGTTCGGCACTTCATCCTTTGTTTCCAATATGTCCCATATTAATTGCTTCTGCAAACATGAAATGCCCCTGCGCTGCGAGGATTCTCGACTGTTTGCAATGAAACTACGATGCTGAAATTGGTTGAAGAGCTTATTATAGACGACCTTGGCTAATGTTGTCTTACCAATATCCCCCATTCCATGGATACCAACCATTTGGGTAGCATTGGGGTTATCATCCAGTAATCTCAGAATATCCGCCACGGTATTATCAATTCCGACAAGTTGTTTGGTAACAACTAGCTGAAAGGCCTCTTTTAACTTGCTCAAAACTGTTCTGACGACCATTTTCACCAATTCTCCTTCGCGGCTGTTTATGAAGCATTCGAGCTAAAATGCATTAGAAGAACAATCATATCCTGTTGTATCTCATTATTACCACACTACAGCATATAAGAGTAAAAAAAGCAAGCTCAAGTTGTGAAACACACGATAGAATAGCCTCCTCTACAAGCAAGATCTGGTGGAAAGAAATTAAATAAGGTTTCTATAGAAAATGAAATACCCGTTAGCAGTTCTCTCCGATTCCCATCCCTTTAAGGAAGCCACTTCTTGGAGTGCTTGTTTCCATTCGGCAACATCTTCCTCGGAATACTTCCCACTTAAATGGGAGAAAGCCTCTCCAAAGCTCCCTTTCTGGTGTTGCACATCAGCCGGTTCAACCTGGTAAAATATGGGCAAGACAACGTGCCCGGCGCTCTTCATGCACTCTGTCATTTGTACGAGCTCTTGAAGGCACCATTTGCTCGAAGGGTAATTCCGAGAGAGAACCGGGATGGAGATCTTGCTATTCTTAATGGCCTGGAGAAGGTTGGTGCCGATCTTCTCACCTTCGCAAAGCTCATCGTCATCTTTGAACACGCTGATTCCAGCATCGACGAGGCTGTTGTAGAGGTGATCCACAAAGGCTTTGCGAGTGTCCGTACCTCTGAAGCTCAAGAACACGTCGTAGTTGTTACTTCGTTTTGGAGTGGTGGACGAGCTAGACAACGCACTGGTATCGTCTGCTTTTCGACGTTTGATCTCTTTGTTGTTCTGGACAAAATTGGCTGCAAGCCAAGAGGAGAGACGTTTCATTTTTTACTCCAACAACTCTTGAACTGAGTCTCTCTGTATGAAAGAGTGAAATGCCTAAATTTGGGCTGCCCAAGACGATGATCACGCGGAGCTGAGTTTTTGACAATTTTCTACTTCAAGATGCACATGGATAGAGGGAGGGGGGGCGGTGGTGGCGGGGTGCGGGGGGCGTGGCGGGGCGCGCGGGTGTGAGGGAAGACAAATTAATAAAGAATGACCGAGAGTTAGCGGGGGGCGCGGCGGGGCGCGGGGGTGTGAAGGAAGACAAATTAATAAAGAATGACCAAGAGTTGGTCGTTGCCGGAATAGGCTCGACTGGTGAAGTGGGCGTGCTTTTGCTTTTTGACAATTTCATTTGTCGTGTGTTTCGAGCCATGATACCCTTTCTTTTGGGACGGAGCATCCTGTTCCACCTCAGACTCCACCAACCCTTGGCCCACCTCATCAAATTGCTCTGATTGAGGAATCTCAAGTTGTTCTTGTTCGTCGCTTATCAATAAGCTCATTAGATAAGAAGGGAAGCACTGTTCTGCTGAAGAAATGGCTCTTTCCTCATTCTTTTGAGCATCGTTGTCATATTGAGGGATGGATTATCAGATCGGTATTCTCGTTATATAAGCTCACGAATCTTTCATTGAACGGAATCATATGATTGTCATTTATAAACTGTGCATGTTTATCATCTTATCTGATGCTTATTCTGCTTCAATGTAGGTTGCGACTTCAGCCAAGTCTAAGGACTCTCCTCCCTATATCATAACAGGACTCTGTTTGGGGGGATCCAAATCCTCCCCTTCTCACGTTACACGGCTTCTGAACACACTCGACCTAACGAAGAGTATACTCTCCCCCCTTGTATCACCTCCGTTCAACAAGCCGTGTTGCGACATTCGACATGGAATTCGTGCTTCTTGCACGTAGTTCTTAAGGATCGATTGTTTCCCAAGACAATTCCTTCGTCCTCCCACGACTACCAAAGCAGTGGTCAGTGACTTTTCTCATCCGTCCCCACCGTTCCTTTCCGAGTCTCCTAAGGCCACGAACCTCTCCCTTTTAGTGTCAATGGGAAACGCACAGGTGGCCTCTAGCTGTTCAAAAGATAAAAGGGAAAAAGCTTTAAAGCACTGACATCGAATTGAGACAAAAAGAAAAGGAGAGCGAAAGAGAGTTGGAAAGCAATAAGAGAGTCGAGAGTCCGCTCGTACGCGCTAGTTTGCTCTAAAGTGCTTCGCGTGGGGTTTAAGAAAATATATTGTAATAGCGAGTGTGAGCTTTATACTAATCACGAATAAGAAATAGTTGCTCTTCCCAATATTCTCTCATGTTATTTTGATATGAATGTGTCTCGAGCCGTCTATTGCGATTTTCTCGTGTTTACCACCACCACTGCGCTTCGTACCCAACAGCTAACATCGATGAATGATATATGATATCGGCTTTTGGAAGAGAGACCGATCTTTCCGCAAAGCCTTCCTTGGAGCTCGTCCAGTTAGAGCCCAAAAACGAGTCAGCTTATTGAAGATTGAAACAGGACCCATTCCTAGTCACAATCACTTTCATTCTCTAAAACCATTTCTAGAAAATCTCAGCTACTCCAACGAGAGTGGTTTCGATCCTGAAGCGGTTAGCTCAAAGTGGGGTGCTCTGCCAATCCCTGCCTTCCCCTGCATCTATGGAGTTTTGGACTTTCAGGAAAGAGCGCGCGAGACTCATCAAAGTGAAAAGAAAGATTGAACTACTATGACGTAGAATGGGAGGGGCATTTCATATGGGAAGCCCTGGATTTAAGCCGCTCCTTATCCAGGCTCTTTGACCGCAGACATCACTCCTTACCCTTGTCAGACAGGGCGGTTACATCATATTTAAAGAACATTACATCCCCAGGGTGTTAATGTGCATTGAAGTACATAGAAACTGGCAAAATCTTAGCATCCTGTGGGCTAAAAAACTCAAGTTGCTAGTAATTTTCAAACGCTAAACTAAACTCTTATTTGGGTCATCTAAATATGTCTATTAGATCATTTAAGAATTCTGTAGTGTAATAATTTTCAAAATTTACTTTTGAACTGACTAACTATAATGAGAAGTTTTTCACAATTCCTTTTTCTTATTATTTTTCCAAGTAATGTTAGGTTACCGGCTATTATTTAACCAGGCAAAAACTAAAAAATAAAAGTCGATGCACATACGTCTGAGGGGGCTTTCAAACCAACTTGAATATTTATGAAGTACTATAACTGCAGATGTAATTCATATGGTTGTAAAGTAATATCTATTTTTTTCTTATCACTGATATCATTTTGCCGATAATAATTATTGTTTTTATGTATGTCAATATAACAAAACATATATCACTTACTTTTGTATTCCAAGTTGAGTTTGGTTGTTGATATATATATTTTTATTAATATTTTGACAAAAGTTCCAAAACTATTCTTCCAATGCTAGTCATGTTATAGCTTTCTAAAAGCTTAATTTTTTAACGTTTAATCTAGCGATGATCTTTGCTAAATTCCTCTTATAATTTTTTTTTGTAGATATTAATAATTAACAACTACCTGTATTAATAATAAGTGCTTTTGTCGCATTATGTATGATCCACATAAGAAATGATCACTTTCCTTCTTCTTCATAATTCTCTTCTAAAATTAAATAAATACCATTTATTTAATAACACTCAAAGTCTAATAAAGAATCATCAAACCATGTCAAGTACATTTTAAAGAAAATATGTGATCTTAACACAAGCCCTCCGAAGAGGCGGTGGAAGATGCTATTTGAAGTTTATCTCAATTGAAGGATGTGAATGAAGATATCAATTTACTGTGACAAAGTCATGGCACATTAATTCGGCGATTATTCGAAGATGAAATCCCGTTTGATCTACTTGGCCCATTTAATTCCGATAAATGTGTTCATATGTCAAGAGTAAATTGAGTTACTTTGAGATGCGCCATGAGTTTAGGGCTGGCAAATTGGCGCTCTTAGCTTAATACATAAATTAAGGGAATCCATGTCCTGAACTGTATATATCAAAATAAGCGCGGAGCAAATTGAACAAATGAAGAACATGCAACACTTGTATTTTAAGCATTTTGTTAAGAAGGGCCCGGGACGTAGATAAATAAGTAAATAAGGAAATAGGATTGACTGTCCCTCGTGATATGTGCAATTAAAACTTTGGAAATTGCATATATCTTCATTAAGTATGCTTAACAAATGCTTTAAGGGCACTTGTTAACAAGATCCATATTATAAAGAAAAGTTAATACCACGAAAATTTCAAACTGATGCACCTGTAATAATTTTATCCCAAACTAATTTTTTGACCACAAAAAACTCCAAACTGGTATACTTATGACAAATTTACCTCAAACTAATATTTTGACCATTAAAAATCCCAAACTAGTATATTTGTGACAAATTTACCCTCAGTTTATTTCCGTTAAATTTTACTATCAAATTGCTTTGTTAAATGGCGCACGACAGTTGACTGATGTGCCAATTTTATATTTTACTCTCCGTTTGTCATAGGTGTAACAATTTGTGATTTTTTTTTTTGTATTAATTCAATTTAACGGAAACTAACGGAGGGTAAATTTATCACAAATATACTAGTTTGGGATTTTTAGTTGTTAAAATATTAATTTGAGGTAAATTTGTCACAAGTATACCAGTTTGGAGTTTTTTGTGATAAAAAAATTAGTTTGGGATAAAATTATCACAGGTGTACCAGTTTGGAGTTTTTTATGGTATTAACCCTATAAAGAATCAATGCCCACATAAATCACACTTACTTTGAATCTAACATGGTCATCTGAGAGATGTGAATCGCATGCTATGTACTGTGCATATGGAACTATACTGCTGTTAACATCAAGCGAATTCAGATACCAACCATCGTCTCATAATTAACGGCAAAAAATCCTCCAACCCGATTATTGGGACATCTATTTAAAGATACTCTCTACACAAAGAATGGAATTCATTGGCCGAGCCTATAGATTCATTAGGGCGGAGAAGTAAAGTCGTACTTTATGCGCAGCTTCCCGTCTACTGCAGCATACTGCTCAAGAAACCCCTACACATAGTTTAAGGTTTTGATAAATAGAACAGCTGATGATCAACGAATGGCAAGTCACACGTAGTGATTGATTCTTACCATATTCCGGATGTGTTCTTGACTTGATTTCTGCAAGTTATTTGCAAACCATAAGATATGATTGATAAGTGAAGACTAGACTTGGAAGACAAAGGGAAGGAGAAGAATTAAGACAATACTAACCTCGGTTTCCCACGTAAGGCATCGTTGACTTCATCAGTACTTGGTCTTCCATTGAATGTTGAAAGCAAGATATACTCCTCCTTCCCAGATGGCTGATCGACTCGTTTGTACAATTCGTGAGGGTAGGGGTAGGACATCCTGCAATGAAGAATTCACATGTCGTTCAACTTCATTGAAAACTGCAACAACTCCATCTTTGATTGACAGAGAGATGAAGCTCTTTGAAGCTGAGAGATATTGATAAAACTGAAATATATAGCAAAAGCATAAGCATTAGCCTCTCAACACATATCAATGATATAAGACATAAAGTTCGTCTGATTCTTGCCTCAGCGAAACAAAAATCCATGATTCTTACTTCCGACACACTACGCATTCAAGCTCACCTATCAGGCAAACCAATAGACCTTCAAAGTTAGCCAACAATCTCCTTGAAAGAACAGATAAACAGTTTCTGGAGAGTACCGATGTCTTGACATCTACACCATCGATGGATAAGAAAATGTTTCGCATACCATTGAGAAATTTTTTTTCAAGCATCCAGAAGAAAATGCATACTTCCAGACACGATTTTCATTCTGAGAAAGCTTAGTAATTCTTCTGCGTTGTCCTTTTACTTTGGCTAGGCAAGGGGATGGAGAAAGCAGAGAAGGCAAAAGCTCTGGTGGTAAGGACGGGCCACCCCCAATGCCAAACCTTGATTGATTTTAGTTTTATTGCATGTAAATTCAATCATTCCTTGTGCTCGAACAGTAATTCTGCACAGCCATGGCTCTAGAATATGAGGTATGTGTCAGAGATCATGCAAATTTACCTGAGAGCACCCATAATTGGGTATTGAGTTCCTGCATAATAGAGGAGCCGGAAGAAATAGCAATTCTCAAATGATGCAGCATACTCCAGTCTCTTGTCCCGTCCCATAGTCTTCAAACAAGTTTCAAGATAAAGAGAATCAGTTCAAATCTATATCCATTTTGTTTCCACATATTAACATTGTACTTACTTGCATGATACCACTGGAACCTGGTAAATCCTGGAAAAAAGAGCCATGCTCATTAGGAAGAGGCAAAACATTAGTTGCAGACTCTGCTAAAACACTGGATGCAGGTCTGCAGACAAAATGTTAAGTGATGGATTAAGAATGGTAAGAACATGCAAGCATTAGTTTGAAGAATTTCACAGTTTCTTAGGGTCATTTTATACAAGATTTTGGCTGATTTTGTTTGAAGAATAGCTTACCCCTGTGACTCTGTAAAACGAGGAAATATGACTGAGAGATGATTTCTATTAGTCTCAGTTTTTGTACTGACCAAATAATGACCAGCTCCTGGATATGCTTGCAGCCTCATTTGTAGGACATTATGGGACGGAAACATGGATATTTATTAACCATTCACCAGCTAACTACCTTGCTAAAGTGCAATTAGAGTCATAACCCAAGCAATGAAACTGTTCAACTTAACAGAATTTCAGGACAAACCTTAAGCCTAGGATTGATGAGGATGACCGGACGCATACCAGCAGATTCAGTCATGCCCCTGAGATCCTGCAATCTCAACATCAAGTGTTGCTTAACCATATAATTGCGACACAAGTAATAAAATGGACATAATTGCAAAAGGATTAGCGAAACACTTCCTATCAAGCTCCTTACATCGATGATACAGTTACCCACAGCATTTTGAGGAGCCACTAAGATAAAAATGTCGTCTTGCTCGTCAACCTCTTTGGCACCTATTGCAGATGTAAGGCTTAGTAAAGTTATGCATCGTGAAATTATTTCCCAATCAAATTGTTCCGAAAAGCAATATAAGCTAATGATAGAAATGCTGCTATGGATCAGAGGCGGAATAGCAATTTAACATCCAATGCATCATATGCAAAGGCCATCAAAGCATATGAGATTAATATGTGAGCCCTCTCACTATCATAAACATTAAAACTTTAAGCCCCTAAGAGTTAAAAAAGAAGGAAGAGAGAACACAACGTGTAAATTTGAAAGTATACACTAATCGCATGTTGTGCAAATTCTTGCATGGGGTTGGATGTCAGAGAGGAACTTGGAAGTCCCACACCATGTATATTTGGATCTCTGCAAGTATTATGACAACAACCACTTTGTCCACCAATGACCAAGGAGAGAAGTAGTCAATGGTATGATCGTTCTAATCTTTTAACAGGCATATGTCATTTAGAAAAACTCACTTTCCCCAGCCATATACCTATAGATCCAATCTTGACAAAGGTTCCTAATGCACCATGATCTCCCCAATCCATGAACTCCAATATCTTGCGAGTACCAGCTAGCTGCAGTGGCATTCCAGCAAGAGCACCTTCTCCCATGGACCCTTGAACACAAACCTGCATGAGATGATTTTCTAACAAATATGAATATAAACGGGTAACCGACACCTAATCTTAACATAGGAGAGGCAAAGGAACTAAGTCAGATATACCTTAACACGTTTTCCATCGTCAGCAAATGAAAGAGCAATAACCCTGACAAGTTCCATCAGAGTACCTATTCTATAAACATCCTGTCCAGATTGCATCACTAAAATATGGTTAAATTCCAATTATCTGTTTGACGAAGGACCAAATGTTCTCATACAATCCTCTTACCATTTCTGGGTTTAGCTCTGGGATATTGATTTCTACCTGAAATGTTGACAAGAAGAGCAGCATGAGCTTGGCTTTGGGAGTAACATGCATATGTAGATGAGGAACACCGTAACAAGATGAAACAGGGTAAATCTGTTTGAGAAGTTTCTCCTTAAATTTCCAGCTTTGGATTATTTTTTTATCAGTAAAAAGAGGATCAGCTTGATTTTAAGTATCAAAAGTCGTATGTGGAACTATAAGAACATATAAACATATATAAAATATGACGACTTAGGATATCTAAATCTCTTGTTAGTTTCTTTCTTCAAGTAATTCAGCACATGAAAACAGCACCAAAGATGAATATCCTACCTTTAGTCTTGTTTTTCCATCATATACGGCTCTCTGCGTAGCTTGAAGCACATCATCATAGAAATATGTTCTGATTTCTCTAGAGTGAGGAATGTTATTCAACCTAGTAGGCATTCCCCGCCATTTACCCTGTAGAATGCTAAAGCAAAATAAGGCAAGAATATAGCACAGATATTAATCAAAATTCTGCAGATCCACGATGCAGCTTTCAAACTAGGAACAAGGATAAATATATAGTATGATGAAATACCTCCTTTTTAGTTGCCTGATTTGATGGCAGTGAGATCCCAGATACAGGGTTCCCTGAAAGAAACGTCACAGGCTTACAAGACATTATTATGTAACTCGACATTTATGAATGGCAACGTCAACCCTTTTCTTTGATAGATACCTCACAAAAGGACTTGGGTCAATTTTCTCAGCAAAGATAATAATTGTCCTACAACACATTCCTTACCAGTCTTTCCACAGTACTTCCTTCAGCTAAGCAAAACTAATCCTTTACATTGTGCTATACTTCTCATCCTCTGAATCATTTATAGTTGCCTATACTTTCCCAAGCTTTGCTACTTAGTTGCTAATTCTACATCAACACATCCTTTCAGTCAATGAGTGGAAGTCTCTATCCTTCATTTCTTTCAAAAAATTGGTGGCTTCCCACTTCAAGGAAAAGAAAAAGAAACTCATGATTGAAGTATCAAAGTAGAGTGATCCCAATTGCAGTTCAAATGATATTACTCATACCTAGTTTTGTTGTTTTTGCTTTATCGTTTTGCACCATTGACAGCAGTGAGTCTACTTCACTGAAAACCACATCTTTGGGACGATTTCCATCAATCTGCACTCTCCAAAATGCAATCCATGACGGGTCATTACCATACAATTCTTAATGAGAAGTAAAAGAACGAGTCAGTTGACAGCAAGTGAGGACCTTATTCATTACGCTCAAGTAAGTCGATAGTATAGCCTGAGCATTTTTCTTGTATATTTCCAGGCGTGACTTCACCTAATACAAAAATCAAAGAGAAATTATACAATAGAAAACATTGGTAGGCGGCCAAAAGTAGCTAATCAGGTCTATGTACAACTCAGAAAGTGACAGTGTTCAGGAACCATAAGCTGGCACATGTGTCATAGACTCCTAGTCACCAACAGATGTTAATGCTTAGTACTTAAGAGAAAACTAAATGGTGCTGAGACTGCAGTTAAACTCTTATGTAGATGTAGGAGAAGAATGATAAGGTAGTTTCTTGTCATTATTAGAGAGCAACTAACAAGCCATAAATAATAATTGTCCTCAAATAAGCTGTCACCTTAAGCTCTATAAGAAAATCTCCCACTCCCTCAATCCTTCTCCTTTCCCTTGTCCAAGCACCGTCAGCCCTTAAATTAATCAAAATGGGCTACGCAGTAATTCTAGCAATTTCCTATAAAGTGCGACAACTAGGGGCATAAATGTTACTAGGCAATAAATGTGCTCAAGAGCCTCAAATTTCTCTTGTTTTAGCATACAATTACAATTACTAGACAGACATAACATTATGAGCTTGAACAATGTCAGAGTTGCATAATCTTCCAACTTTCCTTGACTGTTTTACGCCCGTGCAAGATACTGAGTATGAAAAGACAAGAATTTGCCAGAGTGATTGAATGCATCTCCTCTTCTTTCTATAAGTACTTAAGGTCCCCTTTTTTGACCATGCACGGTCGTATCTTATCCGCATTATAATGGATGCCAATTTTAGCTAATGCGAAGAAGATAAGATATCTCAAATTGCAAGACATAGGCAATAAGATAACACACAATATGCAAACCATGAACTAACAGCCAGAGAGGCAATGACAAAAAAGTGATTCTTACCTTTTCCTCTGTGTCATCAGGACGGGTAACAAGTCTAGCTTTAATCTCCTCTGTCTCTGGAGGAAAATTTGTAATATGGTAAATCTTCCCTGTCACTGGGTCTAGCCGTCTACCAACACATCTGTCGATTAGAATTTCATCAGGAACCTGAGTATTAAAAATATCGTTTACGTAAATGTTCAACTTAACTGTATTTGTGCTCATTATGGCAAAGAAACCAAACAGAGAATAGTTACAGATGAAGCAACTAGCCTTTGTGAGGACTAGCTCTTGCGAGGAAATTTGAGATTTCTCACAAACATGGAAGATTTGAAACTTGACAGTAATAAGGCATGCATATAACAAAATCCTGGTTATCTCCATCTGGTTGTAAAAAAGTTGGAGCACCCACACTACCAGTTCTTGATTGATGCCTGGTGTCGGAAAAACAATGAGGATGTAGTACTTAGCTTGTTCACAAATCGTGTTCACCACATGGCATCAAACATTCTAATGGGAACAACATTAATCCATTTGAAACACTGCAGCCAGCAATAAATTGTGACAAGTTCAGTATTTGTGAAAGGCCATTCCTCCCTAGGCACTAGACTGGGTTCTAGCCTGTACTAGATATCCAAGAACACAAACAGTTGTCAACTTCCATATTTATAAACTGTCTTCCCATTTCAAGGGAATGATGGAATTTTGGATTTGTTCCTCTCTCAAAAAATTCCCTCTGGGAGGTACAAAAAATTCATTATACTAACTAGCGGCCCAATTCTACCAATATGCAAGGAACAGATTCTATGCACAAATAGAGTAGAGTATAAAACAGGTGCAATTAAAAAGCAAAGATTGTGTATATGAAGGGGTCTACATACATCTAACACAATGTAAATGTCTGGTCTAATCTTCCTTTCTTCCAGGCTTTGTGCTTGAGCATAACTCCGAGGAAACCCATCAAGAAGCCACCCTTTTTCTTTAGCATCCGGAAGTGATAATCTTGCCGTGACCATCTGCAAAACAACAACTTGCCAATCTGCTTGAACTGTCTAAACCAGTAACACATAGATACCATGCAAGATGCTAAAGTTATCCATACAGCCGTCACAATCTCATCTGGTACAAGCTTTCCCGCATTCATGAACTCCTTGGCTTTGTTTCCGATGTCAGTCCCAGCAGATACTTCAGCTCTCAGAAGATCACCGGTGGATATGTGGACCAAGCCAAACTAAGAAGATTCAAGAGAAATTTTAAGAACTTCCTAGGACAATTATTGTAGAAGTAATCTATTCTAAGAGACCTTTTTCATCCACCAACTGCATTATGCAAGGGAGAAGAGTGCTCAGAGTAGCTTGCTAATAAAGAAGGAGAAAAGCATTGAACTAACATCATGAACTCTAGTAAACTTCAGCTAAATTCATAAGCACACAAATCAAAGTTACTATCGAGACAAAATCAGCCTTGTTGGTGAAGGATCAACGAAACCCAGTTGAGGCCGTGGCCTTGCAGTGCTAAAGTGCTACGAGTAACCATATGATACTCTTTTATAACAAAAAAAATCAACAATTTTGCATCTTTTTTTTGGGGTCAATTCTGCAATGAAAGATATTAAAAAAGGATACCTTCTTGACGATCGATTCACACTGGGTCCCCTTCCCAGATGCTGGTGCACCGGATATCATCACCTTCAATGGCTCACTAGCCGAGCAGTTCACCTCCAGTCCCTGCCACACAAGAACCAAATAAAACAGCAGCACAAACACACACCCACAAAAGCCAAAAAAATAAAGAGAAAAAGAGCAAAAAACGAACAATTGCCCATCAGCGAGCAACACGTTACAGACCATAGATTTCGGCTTCGCCCTCAAACGGGTTCTGGCGGGCGCCGAGAAGGAGAGGACGTGGCGAGACAAAAGCGGGGTCGGTCGAACAGAAGAAGATGAAGTTGGAGGAGGAGGAGATGGGGAGGAAGAAGGGTGGAGAGAAGGAGCAGAGAGACGGGGCGGAGAGGGAGATGGGGAGGCGCCGCTGCTGCAGTGGAGAGACGGCAGCGAAGCGTGCAACATCGTCGCGGACGAAGGAGAGGCAGAGGCAGAGAGAGAGAGAGAGAGAGAGAGAGAGGTGGGAGAAACAGAGGAAATGGAATGGCGAGATGAGGGGCGTGAGGAGGATTTTGGTGTCTCGAGATTTTTGGCGGGGGGAAGGGTGGCAAACGGACCATCCACGTGTCGCGGTGGAAAGGGCGGGCCCGGATATCCGGGCCGGGCTCGGGGCGGGCCCATGTGAGCCCGACTTCTGGAGGCCTTTCCAGGCCCAAGATTGCGGGCCTGCTCAAGTGCGCAAATCCACCGAGCGAAAAGCATGGGCGACTCCGATAGGCATGCGGCCCTGCTGGTAAATGAATTGAGGGAGGTTGAGGACGTTTGTATCACGGGTGCGGGATTCGACTTTCGCGCAGAGCAAAAGTCAGAGCAACAGTCAGAGAATAAGAAGAATTAGAAATAGGATAGACAAAAAAAAAAAAAAATTGGCGACAAAAAAATGAGAATGAAATTCAGGGAATATTTGATTTTTACTTTAAATGCTTGTTTGTTTAAACTTAAGGATATGCAAAAAGGTGTTTTCCGCTTTCCTATCAAAATCTAATATGTTATTGGAATTTGTAAGAATTTATGGAGAAATTATATGCATATCCAAGGTACTAATATTTTCTATGACGTGAAGGTTTTATGTATTTCAAACTAAAAAACAATCAAAATTCATGTAAGAGTGATCGGTTCTAGGGTAGGTCCGAAAATCGGACCGAAAAGGGTCTACCCAGTCTGTGGAACCGGGAATCAACCATATCCGCCTTGGAACAAGACCGGGCCTGTTTGAATTGGTCGATCAAGGTCCTCGGGAACTGGCAATGTTATTGTTTTAAAATGTTTTATTTTCTATCTTAAAAGTTCCTAAAAATATTGAAAGTTAATTTAGTGTAGGATGAAATTACTAATCATAGGCAAGTTACTAGTAAAAAAAGAGATTACAACCACAAATAATTTGTACATTTTTTCCTTGATGAACAAAAATATATATATATTATACTCTGAGCGAGTTCCGCCGGTTTGGTCCGGTTCCTCCCCAAAAACTGGGAACCAGACCAATTCCCACAAGAACCGCCCAGAACCGGCCTAATCTGTCGGGTCAGGTCAAGTACCCGAGGTGGACCAGGACCGATGCACACCCCTAGATACATGCGTCTAAAGATTAAAATTATGCAAAAATTAATAAAAATTAAAAACCAATATTTGGAAAAAGATTAAAATGTGCCGGAAGTAGACCAAGTATTGCCTTTTTTTTCTTTTTTGGTCTGACCCAAGTATTATCACATGTGCTACCAATGTTTGACTAGGGTTTCGAACGTGGAATTGGTCAGGGACTATTGAATCCCCAGATAGGCACGCCACAAATAATTTAATGAAAAGAATTAGGACTAATGTGCGGGCTCTGTGCTGATCACGTCAAAGGGTTATCCAACCTAATTAGATGATGAAAGCTTTGATTTGATTCCCGATGATCATGGTCGATATCATGATCCCACTATAATATGATCTCTTACAGTGATGCAATCATTAATTTAATCTGGTTTCACACTTGACTCTCGCGTCCTACCTCATTGCATGCAGGAGTTCCACCGGAAAATTTGATACATAGATTTGATTCTTATTGAGCATGGTTTCCACGTTTCAAACCTAATGACAGTATTGAAGGATTAGAAGTTGAAATCAGCTCAATCATGCAATTAGACAAATTTGTTACACCCCGAAGATATTTGTTCGTTATCGATTATCTTCAAATTCCTCACTTTAAACCATGAAACGATCGTCCAATTTTCTAGTAACTTCGGTTTTGCCTTGAGATTTCTCTCAAAAACTTATGCAGAATCGAACAAAAGACCGTCAATGAAAGATGCCAAAGTGATGAGATACGTACTCCCAATGCTTTGCCTTAGAAACTTCTTGCAAGAGGATAAATAATGAGAGACGCGCTGCAATAGCTTGATTAGCTATTGTCGTGTCCGGATTGCATTAAAAGATCGCGTGAGATCAGCTTCGACGTCTCTTCTCGAATCTACCATTTAGCACTTAAGGTCCAATAGTGACGTTTATGGTGATGATCATGATGTCTACTTCTTCTATGGCTGAGGGTTTCAAGAACAATTGTTCGACATTACCAAGTAACGCAGACAATCGCATGTTTGCACAACCCACCCGGCGACTCGCATCTTAACCAGTCCAGAAATAATACTGAATCAGCCGATTATCATATTGAATCGAAGCTCTGCGCTAATCTCTCAATCATATTAAGTAGACTATATGATACAAGCCAATATAATTCCTTCAACATGTCACTTTACCTAAGTGTTTTTTTGTTTGCATCTGGGGGAGATCCTGTCTAGCATGAACCTTGAAAGACTATGACCTATTTAAGAGTCATGAAAAAAGAAGAGCAAGTCTCCCAGATGGGCAAGAAGCGCAAATCTCCAAGAAAGCTAGACGATAAAGACAGCGGACATGACGGTGGTTGCCGAAGATTTCCCCGGTAACATGGTCAATCAGGAGCCCCGCCCTTTCAGCCCTCAGAGGTCGATCTTTAGGGTTCCTGCGCACATTCGTCAGGTTGACGAGAAGGCGTACAACCCTAGGGTCGTCTCGATCGGCCCATTCCATCGGAACCGGCCCGGTTTGAGAGCCATGGAAGCTCAGAAGGTAAGGTTCTACGAGCGCCTCATGACGCGAATGGCTTACAAAGATCGCGGTGTTGGCATCAAAATGGCGATGAGGAAATTGGAGCCCGGCGCTAGGAGGTGTTACATGGAGGAGTTTGACGATATTAACACCGACGAGTTTGTCGAGATGATGGTTCTTGATGGTTGTTTCATTGTGGAACTCATGAGGTTGTACCATGAGAGCAATCAGGTACACAGTTAACCCCCAGTGCTAATTCCAGGATCTACGATTAATAGCTGAGACAAGCGATCGCTTTAATTTCCTTTCACTACAATCAGTGATCTTGCGCATGCTTCATATAAATGTATTCTTTTGTATGTGTTTGTGTTTTGTTTGAGATTAGGACGAAGAGGGACAATTTGTGGAAGAGCCAATATTTGCAACAAGATGGATGCTACCCAACATCACCAGAGATCTTCTCATGCTCGAGAACCAATTGCCGATGTTCGTGTTGCAAGAGTTCTTCAACCTCACGACGTTCGACCAGAACGCGATGCTTCTAAACAAGCTTGCCCTCCTATTCTTGGAGCCTCTGAGGCCGCAGAAGGGACAATACACCAACATAAGCTTGAACGACAAGGGCGAGCATCACCATCTCCTCGCGCTATTCCACTCAAGCTTCATTCCCTCCGACGTTCGCCCCTTTCGAATTGAACGAGGCGCTCGATGGAACAGGCAAGAGAATTTACCAGGGAAGTTGTGGGTCCATGAGGCGAAGAGGCTACGGAGAGCCGGCATCCGGTTAACGTACAACCCCGGCAACCTCCTCAACATAGAGTTTGCGAATCGGGAGCTCAAGATCCCCACCCTCTTCATCGACGAGTGGACGGGGCCGCTCCTGAGGAACTTGCTGGCTTACGAGCAGTGCAACTCGTTCGCCCCGCCATATATCACGTGTTATGCGATCTTCCTCAACAGTATCATCGAAGACCTGGAGGACATGGAGATCTTGCAAGACGCAGGGATTATATACCAATCGGTGGGCGAAGACGAAGGGGTGGTGGACCTCATCAATAGCCTCTCCAAGGAGCTCGTGTTTGATATGCACGACATGAGCGAATGCTTCATAGCCCAGCAAATTGAGGACATCAACAGTTTCTGCAAATCTTGGCTGAGCAAGTGCATTTTTCAGCTCTCCCGTTTTGAAATGGGCAATATCTTGTCATTCATTTTGCCATTCAGATAGCTGTAATTGGAAGAGAGGGCCTCTTCACATTTGAAATCATTCCGCAACATACTCGATCATTCTTTTTTGTACAAATTCATCTGTCAATGTATTGCTCATGCAATTGCATCCATTGTGGTGATGCAATCAAGATCATTCTGATGATCAAATCGATTCCTTAGTTCAAGAAACCGAGACATCAAACCGATTGACTTTGTCCATCTGATAGTCATTGAATTAATTTACCACAAATAGATTGCTCTTCTTAACAGTTTTTGCATTTTGACTAAATACTCCCGATCTCATATTGCAAGTAATAACAAATAAGTGCTTTTTTTTTCCGGATGAGACAATGGCAAGTGCTGCATTATCGATTTATTATTATGGACGATTCTACCGTCGTTCCAAAAGAAAAAAAAATGAATGTTTTCTGCCATTGTGATAAATTCCTGAAAGAGTTGATAAGTATGAAAAGCTATTAATAAAACAAGTTACTTGTCCCCGGATCTTCCGATACTTTTTTTTTATCGTCCGATACTTTATTGGCCGACATTTTTATGAAATTCCTAACCCTTTTTGAGAGCATACACATTATCATATTTTATTTATCTTTGATTAATTTCATAAAAGTGTTGGTGAATTACTAGCAAATTGCTTGGAAAAAAATATTCACCTGTCTTTTTTCGCTATGCTTATCCTTTTTTCATCAAATAGTCTTTCAAAACAACGAAAAGATATGTTCAAGAACTATCCTTACTTCTGCGGATGGAAGACATAGCTGTAATATATAAGGACGAAAATATGCATTTTTTGTGTGAATAAGAGCTACTTGTATAGCTTTGGACGGTATAAAATTAATATCCCTATCAAAATTACCATTGACGTTGTGTGATTATCTTCATGCGTAGCTAGCTCTATGCTTTACATTGTCATAATCTTGATTTAATATGCAGACCTGTAATTCTTTCTTTGGTCCAGAAACTGAACAATATTTGGCTCCCCAGCTGATGTTTCATGAAACTAAATTAAACTTAGGTAAAGTTTTTATACAAGGATGTAATGTGAACAATAAGTGAATCTATTAAAAGAGCAAAAGCAACCATTCTAAGAATTATAGTACGGGACAGATTTATTGGTCTATGGCTGGTTGACTGCGTGGGTGGAGACGGGAACACGACAATAATAATGGAAACTTCAGTGGAGACTGTGCTGGCAAATGTTCTGGAGACAAGACACCCGAAGGACTGAAACATGCTTTGCTTTTTCTTCCGTTCGAAATATAAAACTGAAAAAAACAGAGGATAAAGATTCAAGATCGTGCTATATAACATGATCTTGCATCGAAATAATCAAAAGTTAATCAATAATCTAATCTGGTTTCACACTTGATGACCCTGGTCATGCTCGACACATCATGCCTTTGTGCTTGCTGACCAGCTCGATCTCATGGGGGACGCAACCCAATTAGAAAATCATTCTCTTTAGACACTCCATAGATGAAGATCCAACAATTTTCATCAAGATAACTGATGTGGTTACTTTCCCTCTTAATTTTAACAAGATTCTGTACCATACATAGAAGAATATATAGCTCAATAGACTTAACACACACACACACATCGTGGTTTGTTTTTTTGTAAAAAAGCAAATCCTCATTAACTTAAAGATGTTCAAGATTGGTACACGCACGAAGAAACACGGTCTCAGCCCTCTTTTTCTGATATGCCACGACGTGTCGTATATTGTAGAATCAGAAGCTACTGAAATTTCATAAGTTTCATCAAGTAACTCTTCACTAATCTAAGAGACCGGAAAACAATAGATTAGGAGCTTTTATGGACCAGTAATTTGAGAGGAAGTTGTGGGTTATAAGTTAGAACTTCCTTGTTTTTGGCACATTCGACATTTTGAAAGAATTCTTGGTCAAAGTTAGGTTGCTTATTAAGTCTCAGGGTTTGATGTAATTGGTCAATTCCGAGGGGGAGTATGAAATCATGTATATACTTTACTTTACTTGCAGGTATCACTATCAAGATGGATATCATTTTATTAGGTCAGCCAATGATCGTTTCCTTAGCCGGGAAGCATATTTCTCTTCCAAGAAGATGGAAAGAAGTTTTTGCATAGACACATAGGAGGTCGACATGTGTATATGACTATAGTTAACGAAATGATTTTATAGATTTTTTTGGCATTTCGATTAATTAGACACATGTTAATTTCTCCTAATAATACATACCAAAAATCTTTGATATGGTATCAGTAGACAAAAGAAATGATATGGAAATAATTCTCTCTCTTTACCATTAGCTTTTGCATATGTGTTGCGTCTTTTTCTTCTTTCTTCTTTAGCTTTGTTTCTTTGCTATTTCACTTTCAGCATATATATGTACGCACTCACAATTAGTTATGGTTAACAGTAATCTGTCAGATATATCTGCAAAATATTCTACAAGATGCTTTGCCTCCAGACAAATATAATTCATGGGACCATGTCAGACTCTTCCTAGATGCTGCTTAGTTTTGCATCTGAGGAAGGTACTATCACGCATGAATGCATAAAATATTGAAACTTGAAGGCCAAAATGTAAATTCTGGACCCTAACTTGAAGGCCAAAATGTAAATTTTGAACCCTAACGTGAACTATTTAAACTTCCGCTCTATCTAAACCTGTAATGTTCAATCCTTATTCCACCTGACTGCTTGTGTTCCTGTACATATGGGAAATACTCTTTCATTGTTAATCTACAAGGGAGAAATGACCCTTCATAGTATCTTGGAGATCATGAAAAACAAGAAGCGCAAATTGCAGGGAAAGCCGAGAGCGAGTGAAGAGATGACGGCCACCAGGGATTCCTACGGATTCAGCAAGCAGTGGTCGATCTTTCGGGTTCCGGAGCACATTCGTGAGGTAGACAAGAAGGCGTACAACCCTCGGGTCGTCGCGATCGGTCCGTTCCATCGGGACCGGCCAGAGTTGAGGGCGATGGAAACTCAGAAGCTGAGGCTGTACGAGCGACTTATGAAGCAGATTGTTGGCGAGGAACGTGATGTGGGTCTCCAGACTGCGATCAAGAAGTTGGAAGGCAGGGCAAGGAGATGTTATTCAGAGGAGTTCGACGATGTCAGCAGCGAGGAATTTGTCCAGATGATGCTTCTCGACGGGTGCTTCATAGTCGAGCTCATGCGGTTGTATCATAAGAGTAATGAGGTACTTATAAATTCCCATCCGGATACCATCTAACGCGAATTTTTCCTCGCTCGGATTCAAATCGATTGCTAATGCTTTCTTGTGTTTGTCCATTTGTCTGTTTGGAAATTAGTACGGTGAACATTTGGAAGAACCTATATTCGCAACGAGATGGATGCTTCCCAACATCACTAGAGATCTGCTAATGCTCGAGAACCAATTGCCCTTTTTTGTGTTGCAAGAAATATACAAGCTCACCACCTTCGGTGAGAAAGAGACCCCACTAAACAAGCTCGCGCTCCTATTCTTCGAGCCTCTACGACCCCAAAAGGGCGAATACACTGAGATAAAGTTGCAAGACCAAGGGACGCATCATCATCTCCTCGCTCTATTTCACTCTAGTTTCCTCCCGTGTGACTACCGTCCTTCTCTAAGGTTCCGAGGCGTGAGATGGAACAGACAGGAAAATTTACCGGGGAAGTTTTGGCTGGAAGAAGCAAGAACACTTCGGAGATCCGGCATTAAGTTCAAAAGCAATCCCGGTAACCTCCTCAACATAGAATTCGAGAACAGGGAGCTCCGAATCCCAACCCTATTCATCGACGACTCCACGGGACCTTTGTTCCGGAACTTGCTGGCTTACGAACAGTGCAATGCCTTCGCTGCGCCGTATTTCACCTGCTATGCAATCTTCCTCAACAGCATCATCAACGCGCCAGAAGACATCGAGATCCTTCAAGATGCGGGGATCATAATACAGTCCAAGGCCGTGGACGAAGAAGTGGTGAACCTTGTTAATAGCCTCACCAAGGAGCTTGTGTTCGATTTGCACGACATGAATGACTGCTACATAGTACAGCAAATCGAAGACATCAACGCCTTCTGCAGATCTTGGATGAGTAAATGCATCTATCACGTCTCCAACATCGATTTCATCAGTATCGGATTATCATTTATATTCCCTTCATTCAAATAATTGTATACCCACCATTTTCCTAGCCATCCTTGGAACACAAAATAATAGGCATGATCATAACCTTCCATGTATCCCTTCCTATGTGTTCTGAGATACTCATTCTATGTACTAATTCAATACTCATGCACTAATTGGTAAGGGGATATTGTTTAAGCACATCATGTTTGAGAGATTACTCAAATTTGGCTGCAAATGGAAAAGCTTGTGATCTGTGATCTGCATGAATCTCTCAAGTTTCTGCTCTTTTCCCATTGAGTCGTACCAGGCTTTATTTGCAAGGAAGTAAAGCAATATATAACTTCCAAGTCTCGTACTCAAAGTTAATTATCTCGAGACATTGTTTTTGCTGACTTGAGAGCGCTAATTACTTGTTGAGGCTTCTGACACCAGTTATAGCAGTACTGTAGCGGTATCTAGGGACTTGGAGTTGATTATAGTCTTTTTCTATTAATTTGCATTGAGCATAGTTACGATGTTAAAACCTAGCAACAGTAAAGAATGGATTATAAGTTAAAACCAGCTTAATCATGATGTTGACACGAAAAATTGACCAAGTTTCCAATTGTCGACTTGGTTGACAGAAGCCGGGAAAGAAGCGTTGGAGGCGAAGAATCACTAAGTGTTGAGTGCTATTAGTCGACAATCACTAAAGTAGAAATGAAATAACCGTCAAGTAGTGGAAGTGAGGAGTTAGGGGGCAATTGATAGGTGGCAATTATGAAGGAGTGGAGAAGACACGACTGCCGAAGTAATGGAGTCGTTTATTTCTGAAAAACCACTTATAGATAGGAATTGCTAAATTGTGGGAGTCACATAAGATATATTTAATTTCTTTGTAATCATTGTTAATAGTTGATAGTAGGTATAAATGCTTGAATTCCATTTGTAGATGGGATCTCCAATCGATCAATGAACATCAATTATTTAATTTTACTTCCGGTTTATCTTTAATTTCAATACCCTTTACATGGTTGGCAACAATTGTTCCCTATCACTACCTTTAATTTTCTCGTCGTTTATGTTACATGTAAAAAAATCAACAAATGACCATTTTAAGACCTTGGTTGTTTCACATCGATCCATATTTCGGAAGGTATTTCGTCGATGCTTTTCAGCAAAATATCTTTTTGCCACGCCTGATGGGACTCTTGTTTATTGATATGAGGAAACTTTCATTACGAGAACCAAAAGTCAACTAGAGGGAAATAATGTTGCTGACAACAACAATCCAGTATCACAAACTGAAAATGATGTCGTTGCCCAGTTTGAATCATCACCCACAGGAAGAGTTGTAAAAGAAGGATGACACGAACGAGGTGATCTTCCCAGGAACGTTACCGAAGAGCAATTAAGGGAAATGACACCGAATTCTACTATGATGTTGACCTTAAGGATGTTATTTGAAGAACCATAGAATGAATTGGCTAATTACAACGTGAGTCATATGTCATATGTAATCAAGACGATGGTTTTCAATGCTATGAACAATGCTCTGTTCAAGCCAGGGTCTTCCAACCAACTATTGCAAGGGAATTCCGTAGTACCAGGTTATCTTTCTAGTCCTTTAAATAACTATACGGGTCAATAAGAATTTTGCAAAGGTTCAAGTCTTCAAATCAAGGTCAAAACAATTGAAATGATGTCGGTCAAAATAATCAAATAAGTAACAACAATTTGGCTAACCAGACTGGTCAAATGCCAGAAGTTGAAAACATTAGGACAATAGTGGTTTTGAAACCACCAAATTACCAATTGAAATGCAAACATCCATGCTAGACCTAACTTACCAATTAACATCAATATAGATAATCCGACAAGACTAGTCTTGCTGCCTAGGGGGTATAATGTCCAACCAAATGTTCAATTATATTCCCATTGCTAAAGAGATCATGTGATGATAGGTATTAGATAGGGAAGTTATGAGACCCACATACAGAAAACCTTATCCTGGATGGGTCGATAACCAGCTTTTTTACAAAGGCTTTAAGATCCCTGACATAGCCATTTTTAATGGTGTAGAACATGTTGGTGGATTTGTGGTTCAATGTGGTGAAGCAAGTAAAAATGAGTTTTTAAGACTAAGACTATCTCTCTTATCTTTATCAAAATTACAATTACCCGGTACACCAATTTACCACCAAACTTGGTGCATAATTGGGTAGAGATGAAAAGATAATTCCATTCTCAGTTTTGTAAAACTATACCCAAGTTGTCGATCGCTGACTTGGCTAGCATCTATCAATATAATAATGAGTTAGTCGATCAGTTTATTGTTTGATTTAAGAAGACAAAAATATATGCCTAACTTTACTCTCAGAAAAAGAATTTATGAATTTTGCCTTTAATGGTTTGAAATTCAACATTAGACGTAGATTCGAAGGCTAGATCTATGTCCATTTGTTTCAAGTTGCGACAAAAGTCTCTCCTTACAAGCAGTTACTTAAAGAAAGAGATAAGAAGCCACATAGAAAGTTCAAACAAAATGTGGCCTTAATCGACAATTGGGAATCAGAAAATGACTCTAACTCCAATGAAAACATGGAAGTGGCTGTAGCAAAAAGATGCTCGACGAGCCTTACGTTTGTCTAGCATTGAGGCTTGCTAGGGTAAAAGAAACAATTATGATTTGGGCTAAAGGCGCCCAAGTTTACTCATTCGACATCATTAAGTTGGATGAAACCTTCAACTTGCTTCTGAAAGACTGCCTTATAAAACTGACCGAAGGCCAAATCATCCCAAATAAATAAGATTTAGTAAACAAAAGGTATTATAGTGGTACCATTCACGAAGCCATAACAAGGTGATCTATATTATTTTCAGGGAAACAAATTTTGGCAAGGAAAAATCAAGTTTGCCAATGAAAAAGAAAAAGGAAAAATGGAAGTAAAACCGCCTCAAAGGAATCTATGTCCACGATGCCAACAGGATATCGACAGAGAGGACTACGAATCGGCTAAAAGTAAAATGAAAGTGAACTTTCGGCTAGGCTAAGGCAGAAGAGTTACTTATGATCAGGTACTTATGGGTGCAGCTCATCGGTCAAGTGTGTTTAATCGAATCGACTTTCCAAAGAGATTACCAATGCGGAAGAAAACTCTCAAACAAAACAACGATACGAGGAGGGTGACCCTAGTGTACGGACACTTGGACAGCATAGTGAAAAATTTGACTATTTTGTGAAGTATATGCCTCCTCCTGGTTTCGGTGCTGATATAAAGGATATTGTGCCGACGGGATGGGGTGAGTCAGATGATAACTTCCAAGCAGATGAAGTTCCAGGGTTTTCAAGTCGATGAACATACAAAGTACCTTATAATTCTCCAGAAGGATGATGGATCGATGTAGGTGGTACACCAGGGGGCATGTTTACTTGGACTCAAAAGAGGGGGATGCGGCGGAAGAGGCAAATGCTCCAACAACAACTGGATCAATCTCAACCTCAACCTCAACCTCAACCTCAAGCATAGAGTTCCAGGCCACGAAGATTTGGGAAATCAAAGAACCTATCATCGAGGCTTTTGGCTTGAGCATAACTCCGTGGATACCCGTCAAGAACCCACCCTTTTTGTTTAGCATCTGGAAGCGATAATCTTGTTGTGACCATCTGCGAAAACAGTAACTTTCCAATCTGCTTGAACTTTCAAAACCACGAAAAGATATATTGTAATGCGAGATGGTAAAGTTGTCCATACAGCCGTCACCGTCTCATCTGGTACAAGCTTTTCCGCATTCATGAACTCTTGGGCTTTGTTTCCATTGTTAGTCCCTGCAGATACATCAGCCCTCAGATAATCACCAATGGATGTGTGGACCAAGCCAAACTAAGAAGATTTCAGAGAAACTTTAACAACACCCCACGACAATTATTGTAAAAGTAACCTAGTTTAAGAGATCTTTTCATCCACTAACTGCATTATGCAAAGGGGGAAAGGTGCTCAGAGTAGTTCGCTGGAAAAAGGAGAAAAGCATTGAACTAACATCGTGAACTCTAGTATTAGACTACACTACTAAAGAAATTGGAGTCTACAGGTTGTACGCTTCAGCTGAAGTCAGAGACACACAAATTAAAGGCAATATCGAGACGACATCCGCCTTGTTGCCGAAGGATCAGTGAAACCAAATTGAGGCCATGGCCTTGCAGTGCTGAGGTGTTACTAAGGGTGCGGATGACAACCATTTTGTTTCAGAAATCAATTTATGGCTAGAAATAGATTTCCACGGATGAGTTTCTAAGCAAAAATACGCGTTTGATAACAACATAAGATTTCTGTTCTCGAAACAAAAATCTGTTTGATAATGGTATAAAATTTCTCTCTTGGGCGACCGGCGGATGACAGGAGGAGGTGGCGTACGGAAGCGTGGCCAATGCGGAGGATAGCGGCAAGAGGCGGCCGGCGGGTGGCGGCGAGAGGAGGGCGGCAGGAGGAGGGTGGCAGCGAGAGGTGGTGGTCAGCAGCGGGAGGCGGGCAGGCGGCGGCCCACGGCAGTCGGCGATGGGGGATGATGGTAGACGGATGGCCGGAGGCGGGCGGCGGTGAGAGCAGGGCGGTGGCAGGAGGCGAGCGGTGGCCCAAGGCGGTCGGCGGCGGGGTACAACGGCCGACGGATGGCGGGAGGCGGCGAATGTCAAGTGGGCGGCGACGGGAGGTGGTCGGCAGCCCATGGCGGTTGACGGCGGGGGACGATGGCCAGCAGATGGTGGGAGGTGGCGGTGGGAGGCGGGCGGCGGCGGGAGGCAGGCGATGGCCCATGGCGGCTGGCGGACGGCAGGTGAGTGGCGGGTGGGCAACCGGCTAGTAACGAGGACGAGTGATGAGAAGAATTTTTATTTTTCATTTTTGTTCCAGAAATAGAAAAGTAGACTTCTTATTTCTGTTCAAAACCTATTTCTGAAATCAAAATTTATTCCAGAAATTGGAAAATGAAATTGCGTTGCCAAACGGATTTCTGTTCCAAACCTGTTTCCAGGAACAGAAAAATAGAAAAATAGAGAAACGGAATGGTTATCATTCACAGTCTAAGTGACCATATGATAACTCTTTTATCAACAAGTCAACAGTTTTGCATCTTTGTTTGGTCAATACTACAATCTAACATATAAAAAGATGCCTTCCTGACGATCAATTCACACCAAGTCCCCTTCCCTGATGCTGGTGCGCCAGAGTAGACCTGAGTGTCTGGTCGGGCTCGGGCTAGGGCTTGGGCCGGGCCATCTGTGCCCGACTTCTGGAGCTCTTGCCAGGCCCAAGCTTGCCGGCCTGAATAAGTGCTCAAATCCGCCTAGCTGAAAACAAGACTGAAATTTAGTGAAACTTTGATATTAACAAGGTGTTACTTTATATGAAAATGATCTATATGAAATGATTTTTCAAACTTTCATGCATTTGGTTTGCTCAAAGTGGACATTCAACTGTAAGAAATTTTATGGTCAAGAAAAAGAACCGTAGCTAAAATTGAGATCAATGATTTCTCCATTCGAAAAAGAAGAAATCGTTTTCTCGAGCTCTTCTCCACACGCAGCTCATGCAGAATGGAGAACCATTCTCAGGCGAAGTTTTATGAGCATTGAGATTAAGCTTATTAATTATTTATATATTCTATTTTTCTGCTGTCTTTTTTATGTTGCATTATTCTAATATTAAAAAATTAAAATTTATACTTTACATATCGGTAATATATATGAGATAACTTGACATTTTAATTAACATTGAAAAATATTTTCCGTCAAACTTTCAGTTACACTACCAAACAACTGAAAACTAGTCATTTTCTTTTAAAATCATTTTCACTAAAAAGATTTTCCTCCATTAAAAAGTTTATCGCAAAACAAACACGCCTATTTACTTGTGTGCTTAAACTTAAGCATATGCAAAAGGTATTTTTCGCTTTCAAGTCAAATTTTAAGATATTATTGAAATTTTTAAAAATTCATAAATAAAAATGGCGTGTCGAAGTGCCGGTATGTATGTGTCATGAAAGTTTTATATAGTCAAGACTAAGAAATGCCAAAGTACGTGCATCGCAAGATTCAAGTTAAGAATACAAAAATAAAAATCAATATGTCGACAAGAAAATTGTTTTCGGTTTACGAATTTCGAGGATGGGCCTGGAAAAAAAGACTAAAAATGTGCCGGACCTGGCCCAGGGATAAAAAAAGTTCTAAAAAATGACATGTGCAACCAACATTTGATTAGGATTTTCGGACGTGGACCTGGTCAGGGAATATTGAATCCCCAGGTGGGCACGCCACGAATAATTAATGAAAAGAATTAGGACTAATGTGCTGGCTTTTTGCTAATAGCGACAAAGGATTATCCCACCAAGATTATTAAAGGCTCGAATTTTTTGATTTTGTTTCCCGATGATTAGACTGGGGGATATGATCTTTTGCAGTGATGCGACCATTAATTTAATCTCGTTTCACACTGAGGAAAAGATGAGACACATAATCATCTGACAGTGGTGTCCTATCTCATTGTATGCAAGAGTTGTTCGAGAAAAATTAGGTATACAGACTTGAATTTGCATTGAGCATAGTTACAATGTCTAAGCCTGATTAAAGTAAAGAAAAAAGGGGTTATAAGTTGAAATCGGCTTGATTATGCAAATGATTAAGTCTTCAGTAGCACAGAGATATTCGGTAGTTATCAATTTACTTGGAATTCCCGTCACTTTTGACCATGAAACGATCATGTTACGCGTTATCATGTTGGGATTGCATGGAGAGATGGCGTGGAATCAGCTTCCCTGACCTCTTCTTGAATCTTTAGTTGTGAGAACTTAAGGTCCAATACTTTGTGACGCTTACGGCGATGATGATGAGGATGATGATCTCTACCTCTTCCATGGCTTTATTGATTCAAGAACAATTCTTCAATCTTACCAAGTAATGCAAACAATCTCATGTTTGAGCAACCACCCGGCGACTCGCGTCTTAACCGGTCCGAAACTTCGAGTGCCTCCCCCAGATTTCTTGTTTGTCAGGATAAAAAAAAAAACGTAATTGACTGGCATGTGCTGTAATCTCTCAATCGCATTCAGTAAACTACAGGAGACAAGCCAATAGGGTTCCTTGAACATGTCACTTTCTTTAACCAAAGTGCTTTTGGTTGGAATCTGGAGGAGATTCTGTCCAGCACGAACCTGAAAATTATAATTTTAAAACAACCAAAATGAAAAGAAGGACTCGACGGCAGAGTCCAATATTCTAAACCCTAATTCCTTTATGTTTCCTTTTTCTGACCAGATATTCCAAACGTAATTGAACTGTTCAACCTTGTCCTGTCTGGCCCTCAAAAGCCTTCACACGACCACGTGAGTGCTGCTTGTTTTCCTGTATAGAAAGGAGAGATCGTTCCCGGCGAATCTTGGACCTGAAAGAGTATAACCTATTTAAGAGTCTTGAAGACTGAAGAGCGAGTCTCCCTGATGGGCAAGAAGCGCAAATCTCCAAGAAAGCAAGAAGAGGCGGACAGGGACATGACGGTGGTCGCCGTAGATTATCCCGGCGACACGGCCGACGATGAGCCCCGCCGTTTCATTTCTCAGTGGTCGATCTTTAGGGTTCCAGCACATATCCGTCAGGTCGATGAGAAGGCGTACAACCCAAGGGTCGTCTCAATCGGCCCGTTCCATTGGAACCGGCCTGCCTTGAGAGCCATGGAAGCGCAGAAGGTGAGGTTCTACGAGCGACTCATGACACGGATGGCTTACGAAGATCGTGATGTGGGCATCAAGACGGCGATGATGAAATTGGAGCCCGATGCGAGGAGGTGTTACTCAGAGGAATTTGACGACATTAGCACCGACGAGTTTGTCGAGATGATGGTTCTTGATGGTTGCTTCATTGTGGAACTCATGAGGCTTTCCCATGAGAGCAATCAGGTACATGATTAACTACTCAAACTAATTCCAAGATCTAGGATTCATAGATGTGTCCTGTGATCGATTTGATTTGCCTTCACTGCAATTAGTGTTCTTGCACATGCTTCATATAAATGTATTCTTTTGTATGTGTTTTGGTTGAGATTAGGACGAAGAGGGACAATTTGTGGAAGAGCCGATATTTGCAACCAGATGGATGCTACCCAACATCACTAGAGATCTTCTCATGCTCGAGAACCAATTGCCAATGTTCGTGTTGCAAGAGATCTTCAACCTCACGACGTTCGACCAGAACGCAACGCCTCTAAACAAGCTTGCCCTGCTATTCATGGAGCCTCTGAGTCCGCAGAAGGGACAATACACCGACATAAAGTTGGACGACAAGGGCGAGCATCACCATCTCCTCGCCCTATTCCACTCGAGCTTCATTCCTTCCAACATTCGCCCTTTGCGAATCGAACGAGGCGCTCGATGGAACAGGCAAGAGAATTTCCCAGGGAAGTTGTGGGTCCACGAGGCGAAGAGGCTACGGAGAGCGGGCATCCGGTTCAAGGACAACCCTGGTAACCTCCTCAACATAGAGTTTGCGAATCGGGAGCTCAAGATACCCACCCTCTTCATCGACGAGTGGACGGGGGCGCTCCTGAGGAACTTGCTTGCTTACGAGCAGTGCAACGCATTCGCCCTGCCGTATATCACCTGTTATGCGATCTTCCTCAACAGTATCATTGAAGACCTGAAAGACAAGGAGATCTTGCAAGACGCAGGGATCATATACCAATCGGTGGACGAAGACGAAGAGGTGGTGGACCTCATCAATAGCCTCACGAAGGAGCTCGCGTTTGATATGAACGACATGAGCGACTGCTTCATAGCCGAGCAAATTGAGGACATCAACAATTTCTGCAAATCTTGGCAGAGCAAGTGCATTTTTCTGCTCTCCCGTTTTGAAAATATCTTGTCATTAATCATACCATTCAGATAGTTGTAATAATATTTTAAATTCTACGATTCACATTCTAACCTTATATTGTAACACACTCGATCATTCTTTTTATACTAATTCAATATCGATGTATTGCTCATGCAATTGCATCCATTGTTGTGAACCATTACGCCAATTCCGCTTAATTTTTGTTGATTTTTTGTCCTCCAAAGCGGTGGACTTTGTTTATCGAATAGTCGTTGAATTAATCTACCACAGATCGAATGCTTTCCTAAGTAGTTTCTGCAATTTGACTAAATGCTCCCGCTCTCTTCTTGCAAGTAATTGCGGAGACCAGGGAACAGAATGGCAACAACTGCTTTATTGATTTATTGTTGTGGACTATTTTACTGCTGTTCCAAAAAAAATCTAGACATTTTTTCTATAAGGTAAAATTTCTGAAATAGTTGGTAAATGTGAAAAAATTATTGGTAAAAAAAGTGACCGATTTTCCGGTAAATTATTGGTGACTTACCAACACTTTTGTGAAATTACTAACCCCTTTTATACAGTTTAAAAATGGGAAGATGGTTCAAAAAGTCATAAACCCATTGTATGGTCGCCGATTCTGTCTTAAACTTTCCAATTTGGCCAATTTAGTGCTAAATCTTTAGGCGAAATTCCAATGCAGTACATCCAATCAATTTAGGCCAAATATTGCTGATGTGGTGGTCTAGTCAGCACTAGTCGTCCTACGTGGCACAGCCAATGATCTAACATGTCCGACACCACTCAAACCGACGGTGTTTTTCATAAAAATTCTATAACTTTTTTCTCTTATTCTTTTCTTTCTTTTTCATTTTCCTCACTATTCATATTCCAACAAAAGGATTGACAGGTGTCACTAGGGCCTACAAGCCTCCACGGCCTCGCCGGCCAAGCGAGGGCCGCGACCCTAGCCCAGATCTAGTTTTGCGTTGTGTCGCTAGTGTGCCTGCAAGTCCTCGCCGTTTCGTTTTCCATTTTGAGATGAAGAGCTCTTCTTCATTCCCATTCAACCTTGTGTCTATTTCGTCATTCTCGTTTGTGAGATTTTGTAGGACCACCGCCAACTATTCTAAAAGTTTAAGCCATTAGATAATGCATGGTTTAATATTTAATTAATCTAATACTCCCCTTCACGCTTAGTCTGGTCGTTTTGCCTAGTACTAAACGTGTACATATTTAATTAGGGAGGCAAATGGGGCTTGGAAAGATTCGAACTCAAGACCTCTAACTCCGATACCATGTGAAATTTTATGGGACTATCACCAACTGTTCTAATAGCTTAAGCTTTTAGATGAAGACGTGGTTTAATATTTAATTAATCTAACATCGTTTCTCCCATAACAGTGACATAACACAGAACCAGAGAAGCACCAGTCAAAAAGCTAAAAAAAAATCAGAGACAAAAAGAAAAAAATGTCAAAACAAAATGAAAATGTAAGTGCTCGGTTGTCTCGCAAGTGGAGACCATGACACGAGCTCGAAGACAAGACTGATTTTCCTAGCCTAATTGTTTGAAGCCAAACAAAAGATTGGTAAGCTCGACGATTCACTTCGACGGACTCGATTTCCTCGCCTAGGCCAGCCAAGGTGTGGCTAGCGAGGGTTGCGACCCTCGCCTATGGCTTATGAAGGTGTGGCTGGAGAGGGTGGGGTCAGCGAGGAAGATGAATAGTGGTGTCGAAAAGTTTTAGAATAATTAAATATTAAATCAGCTTTCATATAATAGTTTAAGCTTTTAGAACAGCTAGCAGTGATCTCACAAATTCTCACATGGTATCAGAGGAGAAGGTCCTAAGTTCAAATCTTATAGACCTCTATTTGCCTCCCAAATTGCATATTTCCAAGCTTTAGGCTAAGGCCAAAGTCTAGCCTACGCGTGAGGGGGAGTGTTAGAATAATTAAATATTAAGTCATGCATTTATCTAATAACTTAAATTTTTAGAGTCGGCAGTACTTCCACAAAATCTCACAAAAAAATAAAAGAAAAAAGAAAGTGAAGAAAATGGAAAAAAGAGAAAATTTAAAATTTTAAAAAAAATTACAAAATGATGTTGACCTAGACATATTAGTTGCCAACCGTGCGCGTAAGACGGTCAATACTGCTTGGACCATCACGTCAACAATTTTTGCATAAATAGGTCGGATGGATTACATTGGATAATCGTCAAAAGGTTTAAGACTACATTGGCCAAATTGAAAATTAATGACTGAATTGGTGCCCATACAATAAGTTTGGTACTTTTGGGCAATTTTTACTTTTAAAAATTATTATTTTTTCTATCTTTACTAATTTTTATTTATCTTTCTTACCGACTACTTAAATTCACCGACTCTTATATGAGTTTTTCAATCTTTAATTGAGTGACTTGCCAACTTTTCTCCAATTAAATTCCAACTAGTTTGGATTACAACTCTTAATTTGAGATACTTATTGATATTTTTTTAATATATCAACTTTAATTATCATTTACTAAATTTTATTTATCGCTCTTATAAACTCCTCAAATTTATCAACTCTTATACAAATTTATCAGCTATTATTTTGTGACTTACTGGCTTTTCTCTCATTAGGTTGCTTAGCAGTTTTTGTTTGTCAAGTCTTATTTGAGTTATTTGGTATGCTTTTTGATTTTTTTTTTCTTATTTTTCCAAATTTTCTGTTGAGTTATTGACTTTTATTTGCCTTACTTGCCAACTAGTTAAATTTACCAACTCTTTTTATATTTTGCCGACATTAATTGAGTGAATATCGACTCTTCTCCAATTAAGTTACAAACTAATTTTACATTACTAACTCTTATTTTGGTTATTACCAGTGTTTATTTTATTTTTTCTTTTAAATCGCTAACTTTTCTTATCTTAAACAAAGAAACTTCGCTTGCTATTTATTAGCTTTTATTTAACGTTCTTAGCAACACCCTAATTTACCAACTGTTATGTGAATTACTAACCTTTATTTGATGACTTACCAATTAAGTTTAATTATGATTAAGTAATCCCATAAAAAAGTTGTCAAATTTAAAAAACAAACAAACAAACATAACTAACACAAATGAGAGTTGGTAACATAGAACTAGTTGATAACTCAATCAGAACCGATAAATCATTTAAATTAAAGTTAGTAATTCCATATAAGAGTTGGTAATTATAGGGCATAATTAAGAAAGGTAATGAAAGTTGTAAAGATAAGAAACATTTGGTAACTTAAAAAATAAAATTTTAAGTGGTAACCCAAATTCAATTGGTCATAAAGGTCCTTGCCCAGTGGCCGGCATAGCAGGCCCTCTACAAAGGTTGGTGAGAGCCCGCATGCCCTCATTGACCATCGCTGAGACCCCAGTGGCGAATCTCGGCGGTCGTTTTCGAGGTAGATGAACAGTGTGGAAAATGAAAACAAAAAGAAAAGAAAAGAAAAGAAAAAGAAAAATATGTAATTTCTAAAAAATGACGTCGTTTTGAGTAATGTCGAACATGTTAGATTGCCAGCTGAGCAACGTTGGATGGTCGACACTGACTGTGCCATCACGTTAGTAATTTATGATCTAATTGATCGGGTAGACTATATTAGAGTTTTACACAAAGATTTAGGATTGAATTGGCCAAAATGAAAAACTTAGGATTGAAAGGGCAACCGTGCAATAAGTAAGAAGACTTTTGTCAATTCAGTCCGAAACCTTTCAAGTTTGCCAATTGAGTCATCAACCTTTTCACTTCTTTCCAATTGAGTCCATATGGCCAATTTTGGCCGGAAAGTGCTGACGTGGACGCCAGCCGGTCTACGTGGTGCTAATGTGGACAATTTTAATAATATTTTAAAATTTTTCGATTTTTTATTTTTTATTTTCTATTCTTTTTCCTTTTCCTTTTTTTCTTTTTTCTTTTCCTCCCCTTCTTCCTTCTTCGGCCGATCGTAGGGCATCGGCAACTGGCCAGAGGGGGGAGGGCTGACGAGGTCGACCTCACTGGCCTCAGGCAAGCCTCGCCCCTACCGACCACTGGCAAGGGCCTCCCCAGCAACGGCGAGGCCGACTTCACCCAGCCATAGCAAGGCTTGCCCTCCCCAGAAATGGTTAGGCTCACCTTCGCCATGGTTGGGCGAGGTTGACCTCGCCGGCCTTCCTCTTTGGCCACTGGCTGACGTCTGGTGACCGATGGATGAAGGAGGGGAGAAAAAAAAAGAAAAAAAGAGAAAAAGGAAATAAAATAAAAAATTCAAAAAGTATTAAATATATTATTAAAAATTGTCTACGTCAACGCCATGTAGACCGCCCAACGTCCACGTTAGCGATTTCCGACCAAACTTAGCTGGAACAACTCAATTGGCAAGAAGCAAAAATATTTAGGATTCAATTGGCAAACTTGAAAATTTTATGACTGAATTGGCAAAAGTGTAATATGTTTAGGACTTTTTGGGCAATTTTCCCAAAGGCCCTTGCCCATTGGCCGGCGTAGTAGGCCCTCTACAAAGGCTAGTGAGAGCTTGCATGCCCTCATCGGCCATCGCTGAGACCTCAGTGAATCTCGGTGGCCCTTTTCAAGGTAGATGAACAGTGAAGAAAACGAAAAAGAAAAGAACAGAAAAGAAAAAGAAAAATATAGTAATGTCGGACACGTCAGATTGCCAACTGTGCAACGTCGAATGGTCGACACTGATTGTGTCACCACGTTAGTGATTTCCAATCTAAATTGATCGGATAGACTATATTGAAGTTTTGAACAAAGATTTAGGATTAACCAAAATGAAAAATTTAGGATTGAAAGGGCAATCGTACGATAAGTATTTTTTAACAATTTTTTCGTGGCCTATCGGTTGATCTAACTGGTGGTCTAAGACTTTGAATAATCGGGGTCTCATATTTTTTTTTTTAATGTATGATTAAGAAACTGAACCGTATTTGGCTCTCCATCCGATGTTTCATGAAGCTAAATTTAATTTAGGAGAACTTTTCATATCCGGCAAATGTTGTACACTATATTATGACCACAAATAGTGAAGTGCATATTCTAAGAATTATAGTACGAGAAAGAGTTATCGGTGTAATCGCACGTTGACTGCGGGGATGAGACGTGACCACGACAATACCAATGAGAAATTCAGTGGAAATGGTGCTGGCAATGTGCTGGAGACAAGACAATACCAATGACTGAAACATGTTTGCTTTTTCCCGTAAAATATAATATTATAAGTCGAAGCCAATCACGATTCAAATTCGTGTTTTACAATGAACGATCTTGCATCGTAATAATCAAAGCTTAATCAAATAATCTAATCTGGTTTCACACTGGATGTGTCTTGTCATGGTCGGCACATCATCTGTCTGTGTTTGTTGACCAACTTCATCCCATGGGCGACGCAACCCAATTATAAAATGATATGGTTTTTTGCATAGCCCAACCTTTTTTCAATGGAAATCCTCGTAAGCTTAGAAGCGAAGGAAAACGGTCCCGACCCTCTTTCTCTCGTGTGATGCGACGTGTCGCGAATTGTAGAATTAGAAGCTACTAAAATTTCATAAATTTCGCCAAATAACTCTTCGCTAATCTCGGAGACCATCAAGCAATAGATTATGGACCTTTATGGAGCATAATTTAATCTAAGAGGAAGTTGTGGATTAGAAGTTAGAACTTTTTATTTTTAAGTACCAAAAAAGTCATAAACATGTTGCATTTATGTCAATTCAGTCCTAAACCTTTTTTCCATTTTGCCAATTGAGTACATACGAACAATTTAAACCGGAAATCGTTGACGTGGATGTCGGTGGTCTTATATGGCACGACCGGCGTTGACGTTGACACTTTTATAATTTTTAAATTTTTTTTCCTTTCTTTTTTTTTCTTTAATTTTCTTTTCCTTCTCTTTCTGCTAGTGGCCGGTTGCTGGCGACCAACCACAAGCCATAATCGACAAGGGTCCCCCTCGCTAGATCTGGCGTGGGCCACCCTCACCAAATTTGGCAATGCCAACCCTCCCCAGGTGATGTTCGACGAGGCCACCCAGGCTTGGGTGAGGGTCAGCCTCGCCAAATCTGGCAAGGGAGGGCCCTCGCCGGCTATGGCCTGTAGCCGGTGGTCGACGACCGACCACTGGCAAAAAGAAAATGGAAAGAAAAAAAAAAAAAAGAAAAATTATCATAAAAATTGTTCATGTCAACGTCAATCGTGTCGCATAGAAAAGCCGGAGTACAAGTCAGCAATTGCCAAAATGTAAAAATTAAGATTAAATTGACATAATTAAAAATTTTAAGATTGATTTGCCACAAGGGCAACAGGTGTAAGACCTTTTTTGGTACTTTTCCATCTTTTAAGCACAGCTGATATTTTGAAAGAAGTCTTGGTCAAAGTTCAAAGGTTTTTGCTCATTACCTGTCAGGGTTTTATTTGATGTATTTGGCCAATTCCGAGGGGGATTATGAAGTCATATCCATACCTTACTTTACTTTACTTGCAGGTATCACTGCCAAAATGAGTTGGGTCAGGCAATGATCATTTCCTTAGCCAGAAAGCATATTTCTCTTGCAAGAAGATGGAAGGAGGCTTTTGCAAACGACATTTAGGAGGTCGACATGCGTATATGACTAAAGTTAACGAAATGATTATTGATTTTTTCGGCATTTTGATTGGTTAGACTAATGTTTATTTTGATAGGATTATTTTTGTTTTCGGGATTTGGATTAGTTAGACACATGTTAAATTTTCTTAGCAGTGCATGCCATATTTGTTTTTACACTATCAATGGACCCAAAAAAATGACAGTCGAAATATTTGTCTCTTTACCTTTGGCTTTTGCATCGGTTTTCGATCTTCTTTAGCTTTGTTTCTTTGCACTTTCACTTCAACAAATAGATACACTTATAATTAGTCATGGATTAATATTGCGTGTATTTGTTTCGCGGAAAATTAATGATTTGAAAAATATTTTCCTAAAAATAGTCTTTTATATAGCTTGAAATAATTAGATAATGAAAAATATTTCATTATCGACAACAATTTATGCCTAAATGTTTTCATGGACGATGAAGTTTTTTTATCGTTTATTCCTTTTTGTAAGCGATATAAACGATCATCTTTAAAGAAAATGTTTCAAATTATTCATTTCTCGTGAAACAAATGGAGCTTTAAAATAAGAGATTAATATCACGAAAAATCTCAAACGGGTACACCTGTGACAAATTTATCCCAAACTAATTTTTTGACAACAAAAAACCCCAAATTGGTAATTCCATGATAAATTTTCCCTCCGTTAGTTTCCGTTAAATTTTACCTTCAAATTTCTGAGTTAAATGACACGTGATAGTTGACGGGTGTACCGGTTTGGGGTTTTACCCTTCGTTTGTCACAGATGTAACAATTTGTGATTTTTCGTGGTATTAATCCAATTTAACGGAGGGTAAATTTGTCACAAGTATACCGGTTTAGGATTTTTTTTGGTTAAAAAATTAGTTAGGGGTAAATTTGCCACGTGTGTATCAGTTTGGGATTTTTAGTGGTCAAAAAATTATTTTGGGGTCGTAAATTTGTCACATGTGTACCAGTTTAAGATTTTTCATGATTATCCCTAAAATAAGTGCAAACATATTCTACAAAATAATATGTCACCAGGCAAATATGATTCCTCTTTCCATGTCAGACTTATTCAGGATGCTGCTTAGTTACGCATCTGCATCTGAGGAGGTTCCTATCACGCACGACTGCACTAGGTAATGAAACTTGAAGGCCAAAAAATATATATATTTCAGACCCCAACCTTCGAAATGTTTAAACTCTTGTTCTATCTGTACCCCGTAATGTTTAATCTTTATACCTCGTGACTGTATTGTGTTCCAGCGCATACTGGAAATATTCTTTCATTTTTAATCTACCAGAGCGAGATGACATCTTGCAGTGTCTTGTAGTTCATGAAGAACAAGTAAGCGCTAATATCTGGGAAAGCCGAGAGCAAGTGAAGACATGACGGCCACCGGAGATCTCCATGGAAATCATGCAACTGACCATAAGCATCGCTTCAGCGAGCAGTGGACGATCTTTCGGGTTCCGGAGCACATTCGGAAGGTCGACCAGAAGGCGTACAACCCTCGGGTCATCTCGATCGGTCCTTTCCACCGGAACCGGCCGGAGTTGAGGTCGATGGAAGCTCAGAAGCTGAGGCTGTACGAGCGACTCATGAAGCAAATCGGTGATGGGGACCGCGACGTGGGTCTGGAGACCGCGATCAAGCATTTGGAAGGCAGGGCCAGGAGATGTTACTCGGAGGAGTTCGACCATATCAGCAGCGACGAATTCATCCAGATGATGGTTCTCGACGGTTGCTTCATCGTCGAGCTCATGCGGTTGTACCATAAGGGCAATCAGGTACCTATTAATTCCCATCCCAAATACCATCTAACACAAATTTTTCCTTGTTTTGATTCATTGATTGCTAATGCTTTCTTGTGTCTGTCCATTTTGTCTGTTCGGAAATTAGCAGAGTCAACATGTGGAAGAACCAATATTCGCAACGAGATGGATGCTTCCCAACATCACTAGAGATCTGCTAATGCTTGAGAACCAATTGCCCTTTTTTGTGTTGCAAGAAATCTACAAGCTCACCACCTTCGGCGAGGAAGAAATCCCACTAAACAAGCTCGCGCTCCTATTCTTCGAGCCTCTACGACCCCAAAAGAGCGAATACACCGAGATAAAGTTGCAAGACCAAGGGAAGCATCATCATCTCCTCACTCTATTTCACTCTAGTTTTGTCCCGAGCGATTACCGTCCTTCTCGAAGGTCCCGAGGCGTGAGATGGAACAGACACGAAAATCTTCCAGGCAAGTTTTGGCTGCAAGAAGTAAGAATGCTTCGGAGATCTGGCATCAAGTTCAAGAGCAATCCCGGTAATCTCCTCAACATAGAATTTGAGAACAGGGAGCTCCGAATCCCGACCCTATTCATCGACGACTGCACGGGGCCTTTGTTTCGGAACTTGCTGGCTTACGAACAGTGCAATGCCTTAGCCGCACCGTATTTCACCTGCTACGCGATCTTCCTCAACAGCATCATCGATGTGCCGGAAGACATCGAGATCCTTCAAGACGCGGGGATCATAGTACAGTCCGAGGCCTTGGACGAAGAAGTGGTGAACTTTGTTAACAGTATCACCAAGGAGCTCGTGTTCGATTTGCACGACAGGAATGACTGCTACATAGCACAGCAAATTGAAGACGTCAACGCCTTCTGCGGATCTTGGAAGAGTAAATGCATCTATCAGCTCTCGCGCATCGACTTCGTCAGTTTAGGGTTGTCATTCCTATTCCCTTGGTTCAAGTAATTACGTGTTCGCTATTTTCTTAGTCGTTCACGGAACACAAATCACCTTCATATCTGTTCTGAGAGACTCATTCTTTCTACTAACCTAATACCCATACACTAATTGGTAAGGGGATATTGCTTAAGCACATCATGTTTGAGAAATTACTCAAATTAGGCTGCAAATGGAATAGCTTGTGATCTTTGATCTGCATGAAACTCTCAAGTTTCTGCTCTTTTCTCATTGAGTCGCACCAGGCTCTATCTGCAAGGAAGTCAAGCAATATATACGACTTCTTCTCATACCCAAAATGAATTGTTCAACACATTGTTTATGCAGACTAGAGAGCGCTAATCACCTGACTTTCTGTTTGGTGGATGGTGCATTTCCAGAGTAAAAAATTGTAACCCGGACACTTTAAAATTCTAGGGGAGCCCAGTCTAGACAAACTGATAAGTTCTTTTTCTAATTAAGTAATCAAGTAATTAATTATAATTAACTTGTTGAGGCTTCTAACACCAGTTAGAGCCTCCCTGTGGTGGTAGCTAGGGGACTTGGAATTGATCTTTTCCTATTATAAGAGCAAATGAGATGGCCAGAGGATCATGACTGTGACGGTGAGTGCCTAAACACCATAAGTATTCTTCAAGAATTGTTGTATAGAAATCGTACGTCGACCTAAAGATTACATAACTCTTATGAAAGAGTTCTAACAGAAAAATTTGACATGTAGATTTAATTTACTGCGAGCATTGTTACGATGTTTAAACCTAATAACAGTAAAAAAATGGATTTTATGTTGACATCAGCTTAATCGTGTAGATAATCATATCTTTGATGATCGATAGGTATCGATTTTCTTCAAATTCCTGTCACTTTTAACCATCAAATGATCGTGTTAGGCGTTGTCATGTCCGAATTTCATGAAATCAGCTTCAACGACCTCTTCTTGAACATTCCATTTAGCACTTGAGGTCTAATACTGTGTGAAGTTTACTTTGATGATGACGGAGATGATCTCTATACTATTCAAGAACAGATTTTCAATATTACCAAATTATGCAAACAATCGCACGTTTGCACACCCACCGGGCGAGTCGCATCTTAACTGGTCCAAAAAATTCTTGCTACCTCCTCCAGCATTTTTGTTTTTCAAGACCAAATAAAAAAAATGAACGGCATTAATATCAAATTGGCCCGCTATCATATTGTACAGAAGCTTCGCACAAATCTCTCGATTTTATTCAGTAAACTATACGCCATATGCCAATATGATTCCTTGAACATGTCACTTTAACCAAAGTGTTCCGTTCGTATCTGGGGGAGATTCTGTCTAGCATGAACCAAAAAATGGAAGTTTTAAATCGACCACTTATATTAATTTTTTTTGTCAGATAAAAACGACCATTGAAAAGGAGACTTGATGGCAAATTCCAATATAATAAACCCTATTCTTTTTACCTTCTTTTTTGACCAAATATACCAAACCTAAGTGAACTGTTCAAACTTATTCTATCTGGCCCTAAAAAATCTTCCTACCACCAGGGGACGCGTTTTCCTGTCTGGAAAATAGAGATCTTCACTGTAAATCTTGAAGAACAAGGAGAAGGCCTCCGAGATGGGCAAGAAGCGCAAATCTCCAAGAATGCTAGAAGAGGAAGACAAAGACAAAGCGGGGGTCGCCGTAGATTTCCCCAGTAACACAGTCGACCATGATCCCTGCAGTTTCAGCTCTCAGTGGTCGATCTTTAGGGTTCCGGCGCATATTCGTCAGGTCGATGAGAAGGCGTACAACCCTAGGGTCATCTCGATCGGCCCGTTCCATCGGAACCGGCCCACCTTGATAGCCATGGAAGCTCAAAAGGTGAGGTTCTACAAGCGCCTCATCACGCAGATGGGTTACAAAGATCCCGATGAGCGCATCAAGACAGCGCTGAGGAAATTGGAGGCCCGTGCGAGGAGGTGTTACTCGGAGGAGTTCGACAATATCAGCGCTGGCGAGTTTGTCGAGATGATGGTTCTTGATGGTTGCTTCATTGTGGAACTCATGAGGCTTCACCACGAGAGCAATCAGGTACATGATTAACTACTCATAATAATTCCAAGATCTAGGATTTATAGATGAGTCCTGTGATCGATTTGATTTGCTTTGACTGCAATTAGTGATCTTGCACATGCTTCATATAAATGTATTCTTTTGTATGTGTTTTGGTTGAGATTAGGACGAAGAGGGACAATTTGTGGAAGAACCAATATTTGCAACAAGATGGATGCTACCCAACATCACTAGAGATCTTCTCATGCTCGAGAACCAATTGCCGATGTTCGTGTTGCAAGAGATCTACAACCTCACGACGTTCGACAAAAATGCAACGCCTCTAAACAAGCTTGCCCTCCTATTCTTGGAGCCTCTGAGGCTGCAGAAGGGACAATACACTGATATAAAGTTGAACGACAAGGGCGAGCATCACCATCTCCTCGCGCTATTCCACTCAAGCTTCATTCCCTCCGACTATCACCCTTCGCGAAGTCAACGGGGCGCTCGATGGAACAGGCAAGAGAATTTCCCAGGGAAGTTGTGGGTGCACGAGGCAAAGAGGCTATGGAGATCCGGCGTCCGGTTCAAGTACAACCCCAGCAACCTCCTCAACATTGAGTTCGCGAATCGGGAGCTCAAGATCCCCACCCTATTCATCGACGAGTGCACGGGGCCGCTCCTGAGGAACTTGCTGGCTTACGAGCAGTGCAACTCTTTTGCCGCGCCATATTTCACCTGTTATGCGATCTTCCTCAGCAGCATCATTGAGACCCTGGAGGACATCGAGATCTTGCAAGATGCCGGGATTATAATTCAATCGGTGGACGAAGACGAAGAGGTGGTGGACCTCATCAATAGCCTCACCAAGGCACTTGTGTTTGATATGCACGACATGAGCGATTGCTTCATAGCCCAGCAAATTGAGGACATCAACAATTTCTGCAAATCTTGGCTGAGCAAGTGCATTTTTCAGCTCTCACGTTTTGATAATATCTTGTCTTCCATTTTACCATTCAAATAGTTGTGAAAAAAAGCCATCTGTCTTCTTCTTTTATTACCAACAATTTTTATTTATTCACCAGTGTTAACAAGCATTCGGTATTTTTAGGCACCAAATAATAGAACTTTGCGGGTATTTAGATTCATTCTATTAAATCAAGTCAATCTCGGGTAAAAAATAAATCTAATATTTTGTCGACTCCACTATATCTGCTGTTTTTTCCCCTGTTGGATAGCTCAAATACATGAGCTTAGCTGTAGAGCACCAAACTATGCAGAACGATGGTTGGTCGATTAGCCAGAACACACAACTTAATCAGTCTCCTTAATTTTGTTTCTTATTATTACGGGCGAAGCACCATTTCTTCCACCGGCACTTCCTGTGTGTTTCGAAGGTGTTTCATCAAGAAAAGGACTACCTAGCATAGTCATTTAGATTTATGATGATGTCCAAGAAAAGAAACAGTCGCCTGCTCAACTGGTGGTCCGAGACTTTGAATCATTAGGGTCTTTCTCATGATTATCAAGGAAGAAGTTGTATGATTGGCTCGATGCGTAGCTAGCTGTGTGTTTTACGTTGTCATGATCTTGATCTAAATGTGCAGACAAGTCTGTCATCGGTCAAGAAACCGAACAATATGGAAGAATCCACCCGAATTGGATTTTTTTAGATATCGAGAGAAAATTGGATTAAGTGAAACCGAACAATATGTGGCTCCATCCGATATGTCATGAAACTAAATTTAATTTAGGTAAAGTTTTTATGTAAGCAAATAACGTGAATAGTAGTGAATCTACTAATAAACTAGGCGAAGCAAAAGCAAACATTGTCCCACTAAACTCTGAGGATAAAATATTCTAAGAATCATGCTGGCAATGTCCGAGAAAGAATCATTGGTCTCATAGCACCTTTGGCTGCGTGGAGGGAGATGTGAACACGACAACAATAGCTAAAAAATTCAGTGGAAATTGTGCTGGCAATGTGCTACAGACAAGAAGCTACAAGACTGAAACATGTTTGCTTTCTTCCGCAAAACAAAATAATATAAAAAAGCCGGTCAAGCTTCAGGGGTCGTGATTTAATATGATCTTGCATCGTAATAATCGATACTTAATCAATAATCTAAATCAATAATCTAATCTGGTTTCACACTTGATGAGCCTGATCGTGCTCGGCACATCATATCTTTCTGTCTTTGCTCACCAACTTGATCTCATTGGGGACCCCAACACAACCAGATAAATGATTCTTTAAGACACCACAGATGAATATCCAAATACTCCCAGCAAGATAAACGATGTTGAAATTTTTTTTCTTTTAACAGTAGTTCTTATTCATGGTTTGACCTTTTCTCATTGTCAATCCTCATTAACTTAAGGATGTTCAAGATTCATGTATCTTGGTCGAAGTTTGAATGGTTGCTCGTTAAGTCTCAGGGTTTTCTCTGGTGAACTTGGTCAATTCCTGGGGGGGAGGTGGGGGTGTGGGGTTATGGAATCATATACATACTTCACTTGCAGGCATCACTATCAAAATGAATTGCATATTATTTGGTCAACCGATGATCATTTCCTTAGCCAGACAGCAAATTTCTCTGGCAACAAGATGGAAGGAGGGTCTAGCACGCAACATTAAGGGCCTCGGCATGCGCAATGTGACTAAAGTTAACGAAATGACCATTAATTTTTTTTCGGGATTTTGATTAGTTAGGCACATGTTAATTTCTCCTAACAATGCATACAACAATTGTTTTTGCACTATCAATGGACAAAAAAGTGTGATGTCGTAATGACCCTCTCTTTAACTTTAGCTTTTGCATCTGTGTTGCATCTTCTTTTTCTCTCTTCTGTAGCTCTGTTTCATTGCAGTTTCACTTCAACATTCGTATGCACGCACTCATAATTAGTAAGGGATTAACATTGATCCATTTAGATGTAAGTGCAAAATTATTCTACAAAATAATGTGCCACCAGCCAAATAGATACCTGGTACAATGTCAGACTCTTCCAAGGTGCTGCTTAGTTTTGCATCTGAGGAAGGTATTGTCACGCATAATTGCATAAAGTATTGAATCTTGAAGGCCAAAATATATATTATATAAAAACTTGAACTATTCAAACTTTCGTTCTATCTAAACCCCGTAATGTTTAAAATTTTTTTTCCACGTGACTGCTTGTGTTCCAGTGCATATTTGAAGTATTCTTCGATTGTCAACCTACCGGAGAGAGACGACCTTTAAAGTGTCTAGGAGATCATGAAGAACATGAAGCGCAAAGCTCAGGGAAAACCGAGAGCCTGCTGCAGCGAAGACATGACCGCCACCAGTGATCTCCGTGAAAATCGTGCAACTGATCACGAGCGCCGTTTCAGCAAGCAGTGGTCAATCTTTCGGGTTCCAGAGCACATTCGCAAGGTCGACGAGAAGGCGTACAACCCTCGAGTCGTCTCGATCGGCCCTTTCCACCGGAACCGGCCGGAGTTGAGGGCGATGGAACCTCAGAAGCTGAGGCTGTACAAGCGACTCATGAAACGGATCGGTGATGAGAAGCAGGAGGTGGGTCTCCAGACTGCGATCAAGAAGTTGGAAGGCAGGGCGAGGAGTTGTTACTCAGAGGAGTTCAACGATATCAGCAGCGAGGAATTCGTCCAGATGATGGTTCTTGACGGTTGCTTCATCGTCAAGCTCATGCGGTTGTATCACAAGAGCAACAAGGTACCTATTAATTTCCATCCCTGGTAACCCTCTAACATAAATTTTTGCTCGCTCGGATTCATCGATTGCTCATGCTTTCTTGTGTCTGCCCATATGTATGCTTGGAATTAGCACGGTGAATATGTGGAAGAACCGATATTTGCAACGAGATGGATGCTTCCCAACATCACTAGAGATCTGCTAATGCTTGAGAACCAGTTGCCCTTTTTTGTGTTGAAAGAAATCTACGAGCTAACCGCCTTCAGTGAGGAAGATCACCCGCTAAACAAGCTCGCGCTCCTATTCTTTGAGCCGCTAGGACCCCAAAAGGGCGAATACACCGAGATAAAGTTGCAAGACCAAGGGACGCATCATCATCTCCTCTCTCTATTTCACTCTAGTTTCGTCCCAAGTGATTACCATCCTCGAAGGTCCCGAAGGGTGAGATGGAACAGACACGAAAATTTTCCGGGGAAGTTTTGGCTGCAAGAAGTAAGAATACTTCGGAGATCTGGCATTAAGTTCAAGAGCAATCCCGGCAACCTCCTCAACATAGAATTCGAGAACAGGGAGCTCCGAATCCCAACCCTATTCATCGACGACTCCACAGGACCTTTGTTACGGAACTTGGTGGCTTACGAACAGTGCAACGCCTTCGCCGCGCCGTACTTCACCTGCTACGCAATCTTCCTCAACAGCATCATCGACGTGCCAGAAGACATCGAGATCCTTCAAGACGCGGGGATCATAGTACAGTCCGAGGCCGTGGACGAGGAAGTGGTGAACCTTGTTAATAGCATCACCAAGGAGCTCGTGTTCGATCTGCACGACATGAATGACTGCTACATAGCAAAGCAAATTGAAGACATCAACGACTTCTGTAAATCTTGGAAGAGTAAATGCATCTATCAGCTCTCGCGCGTCGATTTCGTCAGTTTAGGGTTGTCATTCCTCCCTTCGTTCAAGTAATTGCAGGCGCGCTAATTTCTTAGTCCTCCTTCACGCAACACAAATCACCTTCATATTTGTTCTATAGACTAATTCTTTGTACTAATTTAGTAGTCATGTACTAATTGGTTAGGAGATATTGTTTAATCACATCATGTTTGAGAGATTGCCCAAATTTTGCTACAAACGGAAAAGCTTGTGATCTGTGATCTGCATAAATTTCTCAATTCTCTGCACATTTAATATTGAGTCGCACCAGGCTTTTTTTACAAGAAAGTAAAGCAATATGTAACTATTGAGTCTCATACTCAAAATCAATTATTTCGACACATTGTTTATGTCGAAAAGAGAGCGCTAATCACCTAACTTTCTGTATGGTGCAGGGTACTTTTCAATAGAAAAAAAAGTATGGCCCGGACACTTTAATAAACTAGGGGAGGACAATCTAGACATACTGCTAATCACCTTTATAATTACTTGTTGAGGCTTCTAACACCAGTTGGAGCCGCACTGTGGTGGTAGCTAGGGGAATTGGCATTAATCATGGAGCCTCTTCCTACTTAAAAATACACGAGGGAATGAGGTTGGCCTTAAAAAGTCATGACCATGATGGTTGAGTGCCGCCTAAACACCTTAAGGTAATGCTTCAATGCTTGTTAATAAAGAAATCGGACGTCGACCTAAAGATTACCTAACTCTTATTTGTCATGCTGGCCAAACAACCAAATGAAAACGAAAGAGAAGTGATGGGGAGCCTAGTAATGACGGTGAAGCTAAACTGGGAGGATCGGTGGAGTTTTTACTGGTGAGAATGCCGGCATGAGTAACGAAAGGGGGTTCGAATCCTGCTGGCCGAATGACAAAGGTGGTTAGTCGATGGATAATAGGTTAATCTTACTGTACTCACCGTAATTACCGAGGGAGTGACGGAATCGGCTAAGATAATCTTAATCGGTCTAAGTATAAAGAGGGTTTGGTTGGCAAATCCACCACACGGTAACCTCGAAGCATGATGGATAGGGCAACCGAAGTATCTTAATGCCTTGCTTCCAAGAAAAACTTGTAAGGATATATTTAGGGTACCCGTACGGCGAACGAACATACGTAGTAAATGAGCAGATCCTCAGGCCGGCGAGCAAACTAGTTTAGGAAATCGGCAAATTAGCCCGGTAAGTTCGCAAAAAGTGGTGCCTAGGGCAACCTAGGTAGCAATGAAGAGGCACGAACGATTGTTTCTTAAAAACACAGTATGCTAAGGCACAAATTAAAGGAGGGGACGACGCCTGCCTTAGTGCTCTAAGGTTAAGATGAGGGATTTACTAAAAAGACAAAATTTTGAGTTACATTCTGAATTAAAGCCCGAGTGAATGGCGGCCGTAACTAGAACGTTCCAAAGGTAGTGAAATTCCCTGTCGGGTAAGTTTTTTGACCCATATGAAAGGCGTAACGGTTCCACTATAGACTCGTGTAATCTCAGTACCGATTACCCGGAACCCGTGGAGCTTACTGCAATGGATTTTGTTTTTCGGGTGAGAGACTAACACAATGTTTAGTGGGTAGTTTTACTGGGGTGGTCGCCTCCTAAGGTTTTAATAAGGTATCCTAAATTGGTAGTAACAGTAAAGGTAAAAGCATGCTTAACCGTGAGACAAACAAGTCGAGCAGATACGAAAGTAGGATTTAGTGATCCGACGAAAGCAGTTATCTAGTAGTAGGGACTTTGCTAGACAGATCAAAGTGACCCTGGGGATAAAAAAAAAAACACTAGTACTTTATAAGAGACCACATCGATGTCAACTCTTCGCATCCTAAAGGTGAACAAGCTTTCAAGGTTGGGGCAGTGACTTGGGTTTCTTGGACTCCTAGTGAACTATTGTGATTTTGCAGAATAATCCATTGGGCTCTCTTGCCAAGAAATTTTAGTTCTAGTGATTTAGTAATAGCGAAACTGTCGTTTTGTGTGTGTGTGTGTGTCTTGATATATAGTCGAAGAGAAATATCATGCTAGTAAGTGATTCTTGTGTGGTTTGTCAGAAAAAATTCTCAAGTGCTCTGTTCCAAAGCCTGTCTTTTGGAACCTAAATTCTCAAGTTCTTTTGGTCCTGACCTAATTACAAGAAGCAGTCTCTGGTCAAGACTCTGGTTACACCACATTATAATCAGCTAAAAGCCCATCGAGATTAATCAAAATCCAGACGGCAAGACCCTTAAGCATAAGAGAAGAAAAGGAGTGTGCCAGAAATCTTAGAATCACAAAACCAAAAGCAAAGAGTCTTAGAATCACAAATCATTACCAAAAGAATACACGGCATTCCACTCATTGTATCAAAGAAGATTCTGTATCGAGAGGCATTCATCTACCAAGAACCGACCTTCATTACCCAAACAATTCAGCAATTGAACCAAATGCACCAACACTGTCCTGTAAACTGATCTCCGCGCAGAAAAAAAAAAGTATTATAAAGACCAAAAGAATTATTCAGATTACATTGACTATATTCCTAGCAAAAGTAAAACTCAAAGAAAGCAAGTAATACACGATAGAACAGTTTGAAGGGTCTTCCTTCTCTCTAACCACAAACCCGCCTGCTGCTGCTGCCCCATCCGAAACCGTTTTATCAGTTTAGTCGAGCTTCACTGAAGAGAATAGGTAATGCACAAACCAGAATGAGGAGAGGAACCCGACCGTGCCAGTCGCGAGCATGATTGCGGTGACCATGAATAGGGAATAGCCCAGGTAAAGAGAGGCAGAGACGGGTCCGCTCAAGCTCTTAAGGTCGAACACAAGGTAGTTTACGGAGTACAAAAAGATGTATATCGCAACGGAACCAGAGGCAAAGAAGGATTTCCACCACCATTTCCAGTCCTCCACACAAAGATGCATATATGTCAAAACTAGAGATACTTCGGCACAAACCACGACCAGAAGGATCAAAACGATGAAGAGGAAACCGAAAACATAGTAGACACGGCCCATCCACAAACTAGACATGATGAAGAATAGCTCAATGAAAAGGGTGCCAAATGGGAGAGTGCCAGCACCAAGGACTAACAACCAAGATGGGTATTTCTGAGGCGGGATTTCCCTAGGAATCTGGTTAGTCCTCACAGGAAATTCAATCGGGGGAGCTTTCGCTCCAAGGTATCCACCAAAAAGAGTAAGTGGAACTGATATGCAGAACCAGAGCAACAGCAGGATAACGAAAAGAGAGAACGGGATAGCTCCGGTACTGTGACTACCCCATAAGAGAAAATTCAGAATGGTCAGGATCAAAAAGGCTATACCGGGGAAGAAGCATGCAGCTTTCCATGCGACCGACACCCATCCCTTGTGATCACCAGAGCTGATGGTCCTCCAAAGTCGGACAGCAACATAACCAGCAAGTACACCGAGAATCATGTAGAAGAACAGCATACCTGTGATAAGTGTCCCACGTGAAGCAGGAGACATGAACCCGAGCGCAGCAAACAATATGGTCACCACTGCCATTCCAAGAATCTGGACACCGTCTCCGACCATTATGCATAAAAGTGCGGGGTTTGACGGAGTGCGGAACACATCCCCAACCACGAGCTTCCACCCAGATAATTCCTCATTCATCTGAGCCTGTGCCTCCTTGTCGAGCTCCTCGTATCGAGTCAAGTCACGACGGACAGTCCTCAAAAAGATCACGAGGACGATACCGGCAAGGAAGGTGATCACCATAAGAGAATTGAGGATGGAGAACCAGTGGACTTTGGATCCTTCCATCTTCAAATAAGCATCCCAGCGAGATGGCCACTTGATATCGCTCTCCTCGAAGGCGATCTCATAAGTGAACACAATGGGCTGCCCTTCCTTAACGGACATTGACACAGTGGTTGGATCACATTTAATCGGAGAAGGATACTTCTCGAACATCTTCAAGTTCTTCACTGAATCAGCATTATGCATGATACTACAAGGCACAACCTCAAAACCCACAACCATATAGCCTGGCACATCTGACCCACCATTTCCAATGGTTGGAATCATCTCGGCTGCATCCCCTGTCCCCATAACACGTGCGACGTTGGTCTCCTCATACTTATGAACCAGAACAGTGAACTTCAAATGGTTAAACACATAATACATTTCCTGAACCTTGATTCCCACTGGGTACCCAGTCCACCGGAGAAAAAACTCATCCTTCTTCGTGTACCTTATTGCAGGCAAATTATCGAGGATCAGATTGACCTGATACATTTCATCGATCCTCTCCTTCAAGAGCTTGAAATTATCCGCCGTGAGCGGATCGGTGCGGCACAAGAAGATGTCGGACTCGTTGTTGTACATCTTAAACTGATACGGCGAGTTCTCGATGCGATCCCCCATGAGGAGCTCGCCGAGGTTCTCGGCGCTATCCTTCACGCCCCCCAGAGGCTGACAAAAGGGCAAGCTATAGTAGCTGAAGGGGATCTCAGTGTCGATTGAAGTGAGTGAATTCACCTTCACCGACAAAGGATCACCAACAGCATACTTATGCGGATAACTCCCAGGAAGGTAAAATCCACATCCACAGTTCAAGACAAGCGAAATGGCCAAGACCCAGATCTTGAACCGATCGAAGAAGTCCATCCTCACGACAATGTCTCCCGATTCGCGTCAGATCTGGACGAACCCAGTTGCAAAAAGCGCGTTAACAAGGCAATGCAAGAGCAAAACCCCCCACATGGCTTCCCCCATTTCACTCAAGAATGGCATCAAACATGCAGAAAAGCGACTAAAAACACAGAAAAAAGAAGAAGAAAACAAACCCCCGACACGCACTAGTAGCTACTCGAACTAAGAAAAGATCAAGAAACAACACATGACACGAGTGCTGACGAACGAACACGAACCCAACGAGGGGCATGGGCAGATCTGACTGACCTTCAGGGGAGAAACGCGCATGGAGAGAGAGGGAGAGCGGAGATTCGCGGGCAACCACAATGCCAGAGGCGAGATCTTGCGCCTTCTTTTATGTCTTCAGGGGGAAGAAGGAAATCGTGAAGATGCGAGCGGCGATAAATATATGAAGATGCGTCCAAAGACGGTTGGTCTCTTCGCGTGAGTATGCTGAACGGGGAATACGTATCCGACTACGGGCACAATTACCACGTTGCCCCCGCCGATCCATTTAATTTCTTGTTCAATGCCGCTGCTCAATCAACCATTATTTAGGATT